ACGTTGATTGGTTGGTACTTTTCTTCTTAAACATCGTGGACAGCCTTTCACCCAGTTGTCAATGTCGTTGTTCATACCATTCCAATAGAAACGATCCTTTACCAAAGAAATCAATCGGTCTCGTCCTGGGTGTCCAAAGTCATTATGCAGCATTTTCAAAATGACTGGTACTGTGTCTTTAGGAATCACCAACTGTGTCTTCTCTTTGTCATCTATCTTTGTTTTCCTATATAGAATACCATCAATCAGGTGAAGGGAATGGAAGTTCCTAATCAAGGCTAGGGAATGGTGGGATGGTGGTAGATCTTCCATTCTCGGTTTCTTCCCTGACTTTACATGATGGATCCAATTTCTGAGAACCGCATCTTCTTTCTGTGCTTGTACCCAATCAACCTGTTTAAACTGACCTGGAATTTGTGTGTTTAGCTGGTTCACAATTTCTGAATCAAAAGACAATTTTTCTACATTTGGAATATCTAATTGAATAGAATTACAAACAGCCTTGAAACAATCATCTGAAATATAACAAGATTCACTTGTCTGTCCTGTTAGTCTAGAGAGTCCGTCAGCGTCAGAGTTTTTCTTACCTGGCCGATACTGAATTTCTAGGTCAAAATTGGCAAGAGCTGCCAACCACCTATGTCCTGTCGAATCTAATTTAGCCGTTGTGAGGACATAGGTGAGTGGGTTATTGTCCGTCAGTACCCTAGTCTTACTTCCTAGCAGATAATCTTTAAATTTGTCACACACTGCCCACTTCAGTGCTAGGTATTCTAATTTATGGGCAGGGTAATTCTTCTCTGCTTTTGTCAGTCCTCGGCTGGCGTAGCTGATAACTCTTTTCTGTCCGCTCTGATCTTGATAGAGGACCGCCCCCAGTCCTTGGTGGCTTGCATCTGTGTGCAGTTCGAATGGTATACTATAGTCTGCATAACCTAATACTGGGGGTGATATCAAAGCTTCTTTCAGATGTTGAAATGCATGTTGTTCCTCTGTGCCCCATCTCCACTTCTTTGCTGCACTCTTTTTAGCTGCTTTCTTGCCTTCTGTTGGAATCGGCATTAATTGGCACAATGGTTTGGCGATCTTGCTAAAATTCTTGATAAATTTGCGGTAATATCCCACGAATCCCAGGAACTTCCTAACCTCTTCTGGTGTTGTTGGGGTAGGCCAGTTGATGACTTTACTGGTTTTGTCTGGGTCCGTCTCGATGCCTTTGTTGGAAACTATATGTCCTACGTATTTAACTCTTTGTTGGAAAAATGTGCACTTCTTTTGGGATAATTTAAGTCCAGCATCTCTCAGCTTATCAAACACTTGTTGAAGTCGTTGTAGATGTTCTTCGAAGGTCTTAGAAAAGATGATAATGTCGTCTAAAAATATAAAACAGATGCTAAGATGTAGCTCACCAAGGCAGTCTTCCATTAGGCGTTGGTATGTGGCCGGGCTGTTGGATAAGCCAAAGGGCATGCGGTTGTACTCGTAGAATCCTAATGGGCCTACGGTAAATGCAGTCCTTTCCTTCTGACTTTCCTCTATCTCGATCTGATGGTATCCTGATTTGGCATCTAAAACGGTAAAATACGAATTCCCTGATAAGCTGTCTAAGATGTCTTCAATCCGGGGTAAGGCATACGCATCTTAATTCGTCTTGTTGTTCAACTGGCGATAGTCCACGCACATTCTTAATTCTCCATTCTTCTTCCTTACTAAAACAACATTGCTGGAGAAGGGTGATTTGGATCTTCTTATCACTCCTGCTTCTAACAGCTGTTGTAGATGGTCTCTTACTTCTTTGTACATTGATGGTGGTATCCTTCTGTGTCTCTGTTTGAATGGCGTTGGATCTGTTAACTCAATTCTGTGTTTGACTGTTGTTACATGTCCGATATCTGTGTCTCCCTTTGAGAACATATCCTTGTTTCTCAGTATCATCTCTTGAGCTGCTAAGTACTCCTCTTGGCTTAAGTTATCTCTGGATATATTAAATGAGTCCTGTCCTGTGATTGTCATAGAATTGGTTGCAGTAGATTCCTCAGGCATTTCCTCCATTGTGACTGGCTGAATCTCTGCAATAAGACCTCTGGGTGGAACCTTCACTGTTCTAGTTGTAACATTACTAACTGTTACTATCACTGGTTCCTGTACTTGGTAGTTGTAATCTATAAGGTTCAGGATAATGTCTAAATCCTTCGGAATAGATGATTTGACTGTTGGTTGTATGAGAGCTATCGTCTGTTGATAAGGGATCATTCTGTCCACAAAACCTTGGATTTGTACTTCTCCATTCGGTGGAATGATGATAGGTTCTCTCTCTGCTGACTTGATCAATCCTAATCTATAATTGTTCTTTGCTAATTCCCGTTGACGCAATGATAAACATCGAAATGTCAAATACCACGGTGTATGTAGATTAGCCTTTTGTAAGAATCTATCTCCATAATTGTCCTTGGTATCTTCCATCATGACTCTCAATACATTGGTTCCTAAAAGTATGGGAACAGTCCTGTGGTAGTTTGTATCATCAACAACTAGGAATAAGCATCTGTGTTCTTTACTATCTCCTAGGCCTTTGGATGAAATCTCTAACTCCACAGATCCTTTATAAGGCAAACTACTACCATCAGCACACTGTAGTAGGAATGCTTCTCTAATATCATGTATTTCGATGTCTTTCAAATATTGTTGATAAAATGACTGACAAATAGTTGATACTGTAGATCCTGTATCCAATAAAGCATTTGTTGTCAATCCATTAATATTCACTTCAACTTCTGTTGGTTCTCCTATAATCCCTGTTGATTGACGCTGTATTTGATTTCGACCTAACGTCCGCGTCTCGATGCAGGCCGAGATGGGTTTAAACCTCTCTTGTGATCTAGAAGAACTCTACAACCATACTGCACGTGACCTACTTGTCCACATCTATAACAGACAACTTCAGCATCATCTCTACTTCCGTATGAATTATATCCTTGATTTTGTCTGTAATCTCTAAATTGTTGTTGACCTCTTCCTTGACCCCAAAAACCTCTTCCTTGACCTCGAAATCCTCTTCCTTGACCCTGAAATTTTTCATTCATAAACGGTTTCTGTGGTCTTTCTGTTTGGTACTTTTGACGAACTTCATTGATATCTTCCTTCATCTGGGACATTTTAGTATCCATCTTCTGTATCATAGCTTTCAGTTCATCCATCTGTGGGTTACTGACTATAGTCTGGATTGTTGCTTTTTTCATGTCCTTTTTTCTCAGTTTGTCTTGTTCCACTTTCCTTATTGCTCGTCTCAATTCATCAAAATTTGTTGACTCCTTGAAGATATGACCAGTAATGTCCTTCAAGTTTTCAGATAAACCATTCCAGAACATGTTACGTAGCATCTGATCTGTGTTCGTTGGAATGATTTCTTCATTCTGGATGACTTTATTAAGGAGATCCTCTAGTCGACAGCTCCACTCTGACACATCCTCTGTATCTCTCTGAGTTGCACTGTAGAATTGAGAAAGCAAATTTTCATTGTCATCTACTGTACCATAAACACTCTCAAATCGGTGCATAATCTCCTCTAATGATGCATCAGGCCCAAGTCTCATAAGAACTCTGGCTGCATTTCCCTGCAATGATCTCCTCATGCTTTCCAAAAGTATGGCTGGTTTCACATCACTTTTCCTTAAACACTCCACTTCATACCGCCATAAGTCATATGAGGTGTCACCTTTCTTATCTCCAGAGAAAACAGGGAGTTTTGGATGATAAGATGAAATAGTTGTCGCAATTTCTGGTGAACTGTTGCTTGCACCTGAAGTTATGTCCCCTTGAGATAACTTTGGTGTTGTCCAATGTGCAAAACTTGTCATCCAAGCTTTTAGTTCCTTGGCGGTCTTTGCCTTTGGTTTCACTCCTAATTCCTTGAAAGCTTTTGCTAATTCTTGAAGTTCTGTTTCCGACATTTCTTTCGTTGTTTCCTGATCCTCCTTCATAATGATGGTTAAGTTGCGAAATTATCTCTAATTTCTTAATTACTTTACTTGCACTAATATGTACTAAGTTAACTATCTATAATACACTAGTATTACACTACTATCTATTGCTAGCTAAACCTGTAAACTACTCTTAACCGTACCTAAGTTAATTGAACTACATCATAAATGTTTTAAGTAATTCCTGAAATGAAGAAGTAATGAGAAGCTGAAAAAAAATAATTAAATTCTAAATTCTCTGAAACAAAATTTTATGATTATCAGAAATTCAGATAACTACATGTAGTATATCAATAACTAATCAATTCAATGTGTTGTCTAAGTAAACCAAATTGTATCAAATAAATAAACTAAATGCCTTAAATAAGCTTGAACTTAAATAAATAGTCTAACTTATACTCTATGAATTTACTGTAAGTTCAACTAATCAATGTCTAATACTAAGAACTACTCTTAGTCTAAATCTAAATTTACTTAACTAAGTCTAATTATATCTTTCTTATGAAAAAAACATAAATAAATAAAATGTCGCGTTATACACGAAAAGAAACCGAAGCCCTGGGTTAAAGAAAAGAAACCGACACGGTGACCTATTGGTCAATGAACCTGAAAATAATGAAAATAAATTTGTATCCCCAAATAAATCAATGCATGATTTCACACTGTTTTGTCAACAAGTGAAGGGATATACTAATGCAATAGGGAATGTAATGACAACAGACAATATGCCTCAGAAGAGCTCACTTGAAAAATTCAATCTTCAAACAGTGAAATGTTTCTATACACCTGTACTGTAGTCAGTTTACAGCTAAGCTACATGTAATTCAGCAACTTACTGACATCAGCATGCCTGAACAAGACTGAAAAATCAAATTGATGATGATGAAATGAATGATATGTTATCGCTGCAAGCAAAGCGCAGTGTAAGTAAACACAAATAGCTAAATGGGATACTGAATTTGATTGACCTACATTTTACTTCTAGGCTGAAATGAAGAATTTATTTATATAATGATGTAATCAACTTCAAACCAGATGCAAGATGGTCAGACTGCTTCCAAGAAATGAATAAACAAACCAAATACAAGACAGGAACTCTTATTTATGAATACCAGCTGAAAATTCACCAACAAATTCTTTTGCTAAAACGTGGTTTTTGTTTACCGGATGTTGTTATCTGAATGTCAAGGACAAAGGAATTGGTTTAGTTTAATTTAGAAAATACCTTCCGGATATTTCCGGATGTGCTTTCAAAGCGTTATTTAGAAAACTTTTAAGTTTTAAGCACTCTCAAATGTCTTTCTCACTGACTCTGAATATATTTAAACACTGAAATGACGCAAAAATATAAATTCACAAAAGATAAACTAATCAAAATGAGATGACCTACTGTACAAAATGGAACAGCTGATACCGATCACGTGATCAAGAAAATGAGGCCAAATCTAAATATAGTGTTTACATTCACAGAACATGAGAAATAAACATTAAAACTGTCTTACCGGACCATGCATGGTAGTGAATTATCCAAATACACAAACACAACACAATTTCACACATATAATGTCACAAGCACAACACAAACACAAATATTCACAAGTATACGGGTCTTGCGCAATTCCTAGGATGAACTTCCTGTGACGTCACAAGGCGCCGAATACGAAGTGTAAAGATGGAATAGCCAAGTCAGTGCACTTCTGGAGCGCGCGGGCAGAACCACCAGGTTTAATTATCTCCAATTTCCGTTGGGCGCCATTTTTGTAACCGGTTCTTGTTGAAATTAAGATTAACAAGTCGGTACGGGGTTGGATTCGTTTATTCCATGGAGATAGATGAATTAAAGATGATATAAATAAGTTGAAAATCAATGGAAATCAAAGGAAAATAAATGGAAATCAATGGAAATCAACCCTAAAATAACAATAACAACGTATAAACACATAGACAACATAAAGACAAGCACATTCACTTTACAACACAAAACGATTTCAATTTAAACACATAAAACATTCATTTAGGCCATTACTTTACATTTGTACTAAACACATTCAAAGGGCAATAACTCTTTGAAATTCAAATTTACTAAAGATTATATTTCTTTTACATTTATCAATTATCTATTTACAATACTTGAAGAATATGAATTTGAACATACCAGTGTATGGAACTGAGTGATCACTTGATGAGGATTTAGAATCAATTAATTACATGATGACAGACCTAATGAATTAACAAATAATAAAATCATAATAATTCAAACTCAGATCTCAATTCTAAAGATCTACATGAATTAGATTAAAATATAACTTGCTCATATAACTTTCAATATATCAATCTTTCCTTTTATAACTTTAAAACTTTCACTCTATCACATTCATACTTGTTTAGCAAGTTTAAGTTTAAAATACTTAATTCATTCACTATCTTTTAATTGAAGTTTATGATCATTTATTCAGTTTAAGAAAAGGTTTACTTACAGTTTATGGGTGTTTAATTTACTCCAAAATTTAATATCAGGTTTTTAATATAGACACACAGATCTCTGACAACACCCTACTCAGAATGTAGCTATGAATAGATTGAAACAAAGGTTTTCCCGCCTGAATGGACAACTCAGACCACACAATAACAACTGACCAATGGAAAGGATGAATATAGACTACACCCTTATTTATAAATAGACTCTTCTATAAAACTTACCTTAACCCATAGTCTTTGGGTTAAACCATTATTTAAATAGGGATGTTTATAATTTTAAACAAAATATTAGTAATGCGCAGCGCTATGTAAATGCATGAATGAATGAATGAATGAAATTCCTGAAATAAAATAAATATAGCATTAATTAAAATAAAATAAAACTAAGTACAACTACCACACATACCTTTTCATTGTTTGATGGCCTCTTATATTTCACAGGCATACTGCAAATTTATTACATTTGACGTGTACGATATTTTTTGGAAATTTTACTGAATTTTTTAGCTATAAAAGCTAATATACAAGACATTTTGCGATGGACTTGAATTAGCAGATTCAGCTTTCCGCCAAAATCGCTAAATAGAATACATCGCTAAATGTAATACGTTTACAGTATTCAATGAGATCTTATTATTTTCCATAATTTCAAATGTGACCATACTGAGTTCATGTCGAGTTTAAACTAATGGCAAATCAATCCCAGCAAAAAAAATGGAGGCTGAAAAAATTACAAGTCCCAATTTTCCACTATATACTCTTAAAGGGGCATAGACACAGTTTCAGCAAAAATAATTTCTAATTTTCAATGTTTACAAATACTCAACTAAGGGTTTTCTTATAAACATTGAAAAAAATGAATTTTACTTTTCAAGATACAAGACAAATTTACAGCTCTAAGCCTTTGTTGTGTAAACAAGGCCTCTGCCATGTTTTTGTTTACACAGGGTAAATATACAAATATATGTTTGCTCAAAGCAGAATTTTCAACAGAGAAGTTAACTATAAATACGATTAGACAGTTTCTAGTGATTTACTGAATTTCGTTTTGGTGAAAATATATTTCATATATGTACATGTAAGGAAAAACGAGAGACGAGATTTGTTTACATCATGAAGTATTTTAAGTTATGTATCTAATTCGTAAATCAACAAATGATGTTCATAGGATGCCAGTGATGAAAAGATAATTTAGAAAGAAAAATTCTCGTGAACTTTGAAAACTGATAAAATGAAAAATTAAGGAATATATTATAAATACAGAGTATATAGATCAATGGTGAATTGGTTTATCAAAAATATTATTGACACTAAAATGTTTTGAAAAATTTTATCTTTGGAAAGTGAACTGGGAATATGTTGGATTCTCAGATGTATAAATAACGCAAGTGAGTTAAGGCTACGTATGCGGCTACTATGCAAAATAATTAATTAAAACCAATAATTGTGAAACATACTGCAAAGAAAATGTTAAGACTTGTTTCCTAATACATTCTTGGTACCCACGATGTGCGATGGCCAGTATTATGTCGTCATATTTTGACGTCATCAGCCTTTACATGTACTACACAAGTTTATAAGAAACATCAACAAAATTGCTTCGGCGCATGGGCATACGTTACTTTGTTTTACAGAAACAAGTTACAAAGAAAAGCAGAATATTCCAAAGATTTAACATGCATTCTCTGTAAGCACCAAAAAATCTTGGAAACCACATATCTCCGATTTTGATGAAATTTGCACCACAGGTGCACCTTGGTACAAAACCAGCAAATATGGTGTTAGAAGTTTCTCACGTGGACCCGGTTGCCATGGAGACGGATCCATTGAATTTGGCCATTTTCGGCCATTTTTGACCAAACAAAAACATGAAAATTGAGGAAATATGAATGCATTTTTATCTTTAAGTAGTGAACTCAAATATAAATCTTTGTATCATAAGAAAACATCAACTGTTAAAGAATACAGGGCATATAACCAGTTATTCCAGAATTGACCCCACTCTTAGAAAACGGTTCTGCAAAATAGCATAGTTTCTCAAAATGTGAAAAATGGAAAATTTGGCATTTTTTGAGAAATTTAAGGTTAAATAAAAAAAATTGTCTACGGAAATTTTTCAAATCATATGCGTGTCGTCAAACGTCAGTATTAGTAGTGTCCCCTCATGAAAAAATTGGAGTGGGATCTCAATGCTATTTTTAGTAACATGTATCTAAAAATAGACATATTTCAGAAAAATCCAAAAAATGAAATTTGGGCAGAGTTTAAGATGCCATTGCTAGGTAATTATGAAATATACTGTAAAAGTCAATATGCTAATGTCAGAGACTGGACACCAATAACTACTATGCATATTATTTTCAGGGATTTCCGTTTTCTATTTATAGCTTCAAATGCCTAAATATAGACATGTCTCATAAAATGATGAAAAATGTCAATTTTCCATCATTTTGAAGCTCCACTGAATCATAAATGATAAAAATATGGATCCCTCCAATATTTCATCAATAAGAACAAGGAATAGTATAATATCTCACAAATTATTGAGGACAGGCTCTCATCTCTATAAATAGTATAAATGTCTAAAAATAGACACATATGAAATTAACTGTTTAATGTTGATTTTCCACCAATTCTCAAATTAAAGATGGGAAATTTACCGACTTACTGTCGTTAAATGTAACTGATATTATGTGACTGACAAGAACAAAAGAACATTCAATGGAATGCAGCATGATAAGCAGAGGTTTCCATTTCTATTTATAGTAACACATGTTTAAAAATAGACGTAATGCGAAATATCTGGAAAATGTCGTTCTTTGAACTTTTTTCTAAAATTTTGGATGAATAATTGCTGACTATTTGTTTTTAACTGCTATTTGCATATGGTGACCAACAAGTAAAAGAAAGTCTTATATCAAATACAAAATGAGAAGCAGTGGTTTCCATTTCTATTTATAGTAACACATGTTTAAAAATAGACGAACTGCAAAATATCAGAAAAATGTCGTTTTTTGTACTTTTTTCTCACATTTTGGATGAACAATTGCAGACTATATGTTTTAACTGCTATTGGAATATGGTGACCAACAAGTAAAATAAAGCATATACGAAATACAGAATGAGAAGCAGAGGTTTCCATTTCTATTTATAGTAACACATGTTTAAAAATTGACGGATGCAAAATATCGGGAAAATGTCATTTTTTGTACTCTTTTTTTACATTTTGGATGAATAATTGCTGACTATCTGTTTTAAACTGCTATTGGCATATAGTGACCAACAAGTAAAAGAAAGCATTATATCAAAAACAGAATGAGAAGCAGAGGTTTCCATTTCTATTTATAGTAACATGTGTTTAAAAATAGACGTACTGTAAATTATCGGAAAAATGTCATTTTTGAATTTTTTTGTAAAAAAGCTGATTCCTCTATACCCCCAAACTTCGTTTTTTTTTTTTGGGGGGGGGAGTAATAATAAAGTTGAATATTCCAGGGATCCAGATTCCCTTTCATCCATGCATGCCTTACCAGAATTTGTTCAAAAGTAATCCGAAATTTGCCCAAATGTTTTGAGTTGGCTTACTTTCGATTTTTCTCTCTCTCTATACATGCGTATTTCTCTAGACTTTAACGAAAGCATTTAAAAATATTTGTTGTTTTGGTTTTTATAAAATTATTTTACGTATAAACATACATGTAGTTGTTGGAACCGGGGGGGGGGGGGTGGTGTTCAAAGATAGACATCAAATAGGTAATAAACATTTGGGGGTAGATTTAGCCCCCCCCCTTTTAAGCAAGCATGTTGCAGTGTAGTCGAATAAGGGTAAGTGGTAGTCTTTGAAAGAAAAAAAAAGGTACTGAAAGAAGTTCGATCCCCCTCCCATGAAATAGGATTTCATGTTTTGACCCCCCTCTTCACTTTTAATTTGCTTCCAACACGAATTTTGTTATGACCCAAGAGTTTTATCGCCTTTTTAAAGACTTGATTTTCATGGCAATAAGCTGTCATACATTGGTATCAGTGTTTGAAAAAGATTTCTTGTTACGTTTTAAAATACTACTACTACTAAAAATTAACTTGTCTTTAAGAGAGGATGGGCAGTAACTTTAGTTACAGAAATGGCTTTGCTATTAATAGGCGTTTAAACAAACTAATATTGGTCAGAAATATAAATTATTAGCTTAGTGAAAAATCGAACAGAGAAAAGGTATTATTCCTTCATTCAAGGATACTTTGTGGCAAGTTAAATTGAAATTAACCCAGTGGTTCTTGATAAGAAAATGAAAATATAAAAAGTTTACAATGAGAACGACAACGACTGACAAGGCACAAATGATCATAAAAGCTCACTTGAGCCTTTATTTTAAAACATGTGTTACTATAAATAGAAATGGAAACCCACCTTATTATGCATTTCGGTTACTGCTCTCTTGTACGTGTCGGTTACATTATGTCAGTTACAGCTAATGAAAGTTTGACTGCAATTTCCTATCCCTAATTTGAGAAAATAGAATGATTCTATATTTTCTTGATTAATTGCTGAATGTCTATTTATAACTATACGTTAGTATAGGTAGAAATGGAAAAATACCTTTACACATTATTCTTATACATTTTTGCTAAAGCTTTTTCATGCTCGTTAGTCACCTTCTGTCAATAACAAATATCAGCCGTTTGTCTGCACGTTATCCATTCCTGATGTTAAGAAAAATGCAAAAGTCTATATTTTCTCAAGAATTTGCAGTATGTCTATTTTCAAACATGTGTTACTATAAGTAGAAATGGAAACCTCTGCTTCTCTTTCTGTATTTCGTATATGCTTATTTTTACTTGTTGGTCACCATATTCCAATAGCAGTTAGAAATATATAGTCTGCAATTGTTCATCCAAAATGTGAGAAAAGAGTACAAAAAACGACATTTTTCCGATATTTTGCAGTTCGTCTATTTTTAAACATGTGTTACTATAAATAGAAATGGAAACCACTGCTTATCATGCTGCATTCCATTGAATGTTCTTTTGTTCTTGTCAGTCACATAATATCAGTTACATTTAATGACAGTAAGTCGGTAAATTTCCCATCTTTAATTTGAGAATTGGTGGAAAATCAACATTAAACAGTTAATTTCATACGTGTCTATTTTTAGACATTTGTACTATCTATAGAGATAAACTTAAAAGTATAAAACAGATCACCAACACTTCGTGAGAATGCAGCAGTAAATTTATTTTGTTGACCGGTTTCGACCTGTGACGGTCGTCATCAGAACAATCAAGCATGTACATTTATCTACTGAAGTAAAAAATGCGGATGACATTGCTATATGCATTAAAAATGCGGATAGCGTTGCTATATACAAAATAAAATGCGGAGTGTTTTGCACATATGCGGACTTGCTTAACAATGGTACTTTATATAAGATATAATCAATTTACGTTTCCTCTAAAGTTTTTCTGACTTAAGATTTAGTAAGTAAATAACATTATTATTTTATGATTAATAAAATCGTCCGTCCATCAATTCTGTGGATTATTATTCTTCTGTTGCATCATCAAGCTGTTTCGGTAGACTGTGACGTCACAATGGAAAAAAAATACGGATGGTTTGTACATGTATACAGAGTGCGTAAAATTATACAAATGGACATTAGATTACATTTCCTATAAATGTTGGGATAACATAAAATGTAATTTGGTTTCATAAATTGCTACTTCTGAATAGTTCTATTTTATGGAGGATAAAAATTGTTCGTAAAATTACATTAAAATAATTAACATGTTTTAATATCAACAAAGCTAATTTCTTTACAATGTGCAAGAGTTCATTGTAGTTTTATGACGAAATTCGTTCAGACGAAATGTGAAGGTATGTAGATCCTTGCTCCAATTCGTCCATTACATAAAGGGGGGGGGGGTGTAGTTAACAATTACTTGGATTTTTTATTGTCCTTGAATGCTTTTGTTGATTCCTTATCGGCTTCCTTCTTCATAAAGTTTGGGATTGCAGTTAGTAGATCGTTTATATGTTCCATTTCGTTAGTGTTTTCTTTGTTTTTAAGCTGGGATTTTAAATCAAGTATCTGTGTATTAATCGTATTAATTCTAGTATTCCAATATTCATAAAGTAAGCGGATGAGGCTGCGGCTAAAATTAAGGTGTGCTTCCTCCCAGTTTAGGAGAAATAAAGCATTACTGTCTGGAATTTGTGGAATAATTTGGCTCTTAGTGTTTTTGGTATTAGGTCCTGTTGTTGGCATTTATTCAGGTATGCGGCATGGCTTTTAGTTCTTTGGAGTTTAATATGAAGTTTTCGGAGTGTCCTAAAAATGGCAACATTTTCTTCTGATATTTTCAGTTTCTCGGAAGATTCCACTGGATCGGATGTTGAGGTTTCTTTCCCTGCTGTTTCTTGTTGAGATTTGTTAGTTGTTTCTGAATATTCTATATCCGTATCAGATTGTGAAGAATTGCGGAATCTTTTTTTTGGGTTACTGATGTCTACCTTGAGCGATTCCTTCACTTTCTGGTTAACTGATTCTTTTAACTTTGGAATTGAGTTGGTGGCCATAATGTATAGCGCAGTTCGGAATATTTAGAGAGATGAGAGCTGTCCTCAATAATTTGTGAGATATTATACTATTCCTTGTTCTTATTGATGAAATATTGGAGAGATCCATATTTTTATCATTTATGATTCAGTGGAGCTTCAAAATGATGGAAAATTGACATTTTTCATCATTTTATGAGACATGTCTATATTTAGGCATTTGAAGCTATAAATAGAAAACGGAAATCCCTGAAAATAATATGCATAGTGGTTATTGGTGTCCAGTCTCTGACATTAGCATATTGACTTTTACAGTATATTTCATAATTACCTAGCAATGGCATCTTAAACTCTGCCCAAATTTCATTTTTTGGATTTTTCTGATATATGTCTATTTTTAGATACATGTTACTAAAAATAGCATTGAGATCCCACTCCAATTTTTTCATGAGGGGACAGTACTAATACTGACGTTTGACGACACGCATATGATTTGAAAAATTTCCGTAGACAATTTTTTTTATTTAACCTTAAATTTCTCAAAAAATGCCAAATTTTCCATTTTTCACATTTTGAGAAACTATGCTATTTTGCAGAACCGTTTTCTAAGAGTGGGGTCAATTCTGGAATAACTGGTTATATGCCCTGTATTCTTTAACAGTTGATGTTTTCTTATGATACAAAGATTTATATTTGAGTTCACTACATAAAGATAAAAATGCATTCATATTTCCTCAATTTTCATGTTTTTGTTTGGTCAAAAATGGCCGAAAATGGCCAAATTCAATGGATCCGTCTCCATGGCAACCGGGTGCACGTGGGAAACTTCTAACATCATATTTGCTGGTTTTGTACCAAGGTGCACCTGTGGTGCAAATTTCATCAAAATCGGAGATATATCGTTTCCAAGCCCTATAGTAAATTTTTTCTTGTGCTTACAGAGAATGCATGTTAAGATATTGCTGCACAAATGTCGACACTGCAATTGTTTAGTTACAATTCGTACAGTTCTAAGTTGAAACAGGGTAAAAATGTACAGTCCAGTGTTAGTTTAGTAAAATTTTTATCGACTGAAGAAGAGCATGGGATTTGTGCAACAATTTTATTAATTTTAAGAATATTCTCCTTAATATTATACTTTATTTTTTATAAATTAAATAGGATATGCCCTTGTGCCGACGTTGTTTTGTTGATGTGTTTTATTACCTTGAATAGGAAAGAACTATGACGTCATAATATGACGTCATAATGTGCACTTGCATTGATATACTGTGGGTACTAATTATGTATAAGAAAATCAAGTTGAACTTTCTCTTTTCATAAAATACACAATTTATGCATTTTTATTAGCTCATTTGCATAGAAAAACCCATATTTAGCCTTAACTCACTTGCGAAAACCTAAAGCTAGTTATTCGAAATTTTGCTTTTAAACGGAGAGTCATTATAATCATGGAGACTCTGCAATCTTACTTGAGATACTAGTATCAAATTTCTACCCGGAAAATTTACTTAGTAATATATTCATATTTGTTTGCACTGAAAACTAGAAAATTTTGAAAGCTGTGCGAATTTGACAAATAAGTAACACAATACTACGGACCATGAACCTTCAAGATACAAGAAGAGGCATTGATTTTAACGTCATTTCAATACAATATTTAATCAGAAATTCAAGTGCAAATATTCAGTAAGGTACCTCAGTCTGAAAGCGGGTTGCGAAGGAATATACTCTAAAGACAGGTCTGCTTTTAACCTGATATTTCTCACCTGAGCATTTTTTCTGATTACTGCTATGCGCAAGTAACAACTGACTACCGACTACCTTGTGGAGGTATTTGTTGATTTTTTTTTATGTAAACAGGACCATTGACTAAGGATACAGGTATAAAGTGGCAATCTCTTGTCAAATATGTTTGTTCAATGTTTGAAATAAAATTACTTTCGCATTGATGCTTATATATTTTTGTGAAAATTTGACCACAGAAAAAAAAATATTTTCTTTTGAGATATTTGGAGTTGTTCATTTTTCTCTAGCAGTAAACGCATGTACTCGATTTATAGTGTGAATAATTATGACCTATATGCACTATCTCAAAAAGAGAACATTTTTTCGTCCTTCTTCATTTACTGATAAGGATTTAATGAGTAATGAGTGGAGTTTTTAGATAAAAAGTTTGATTTGTTCAGGGTTAGCGCATTGATATTTTTTTAAAGACAGCTTATCGGAAGTGTGGATTTCAAAATTGTGATGGAGAGAAATAGACACTTATTGAGGTATTTTGTATGTAAGTAGACTTCTATTTATATTTTTTCTTTTCTTAAATAATCTTTTTAGTCACTAATTTTATCTATTTACTCTGAACATTTGTACATTAAAAGTTTTATTATTGTTATATCAATGGGTCTTTTCTACACATATAGATCAATTGTACTCAGCTTAATTTGAGTTGTCTTATATATAGACAAATTAAAACTGTGTTCGATCTTTGAGTTTATATTTATCGCTGAATTTTAACAAAATGTACCATTTGTAATTGTGAAAGTTTTGGTGATAAATTTCATTTTGAAATTTTGAATTGAAAGATTATTATTTCCATTTCTATTTTTTTTTTCTCTGTGTCAACTCTTTGAAGCTACAGTTTAGCTGAGTTGATATCTTGACAATTCTACCGGAGTGTAAAGGCAGGTTGATAAGTCAGGAGCTAATGAGGCCTAATATGCCTAATATGCATGCAAATCTCGTGCGCATCTGTTTCTGTGTCTAATGCCAAGGATGCCAAATATGCATTAAATCTCGTGCGGCTGCCATTGTGATTGACATTAGTGGGCGAGGACTATTAAAACTGACATTTACATGGCCGCAATGTCACCTTGGATTTGTCCTTCAATAGATTTTCTACTCTAACCAATGCTATAGCTACATTTGAAAATTTGACAGATGTGTCGGTTGTGACATCCATGATTCTCAATCACAATTACATTACAAAGATAGAAAACGAAACCTTTTATGAATTTACAAACTTGTGTAGTTTGGACATTTCATATTGTCACCTTACGAACAATTGCATAGAAGCAGGTGCCTTCTCTCGATTGCCAATCAAGTGCCTAAACATTGATCATAATGATTTTAAAAATGAACACATGTACCCGGATGTTGCACTTTCTGCACTTCAGTCTTTGCGTAGCCTGGATATAGACATTTTTGAAAGTTTTAAATTTACGACACCATTTGAAAACCTAACAAATTTGTCTGAAATAAAGTTTAATATTCAAAGTGATTTCACTTTATCAAATACGTCATTTTTAGGACTCAAAAGCTCTAAAATCCGACAACTTAATCTAAATTTTGCAAATTATGTGTATTGTGATGTTACCGAGGATCTGTTTTGCTCCTTTCCCTTTCTTACAGATGTCTTCATTAATTTCGGCGGAAAATGTGACGTGACTTCAGCATTACGCTCTCTAAAATGTCTTCAACATCGAAATATAAATAACATTACACTTTATAAAAACAAGAAGAAAATTGAAACAAGTGTGATAATTCTAAATGATACTTTACTTGAGTACGTTGTCAATATCTGCATTCGAAAATTGTTTTTGATTGAAAACAGCATTGCATCTATAACAAAGAATATTCATAACACAACATTATGGAACTGTTTAGAGGAATTGGATTTAAGCAAAAACGATTTGCATGTTATGGATTTTTCAGTAGTTGAAACCCGGTTCTCTGCACCTAAATTGAAATATCTGAATTTGTTGATGTTCACGCCGATTTATTCCAGTCGTCTTTAGGTATTCAAAATTTATCTCTCAACGATGTCGACTTCAAGTTTTCTACTCTAAATTCTGAAAATATATTCAGGAATATGAAAAATCTCTCTAACCTATATTTTTCAGAAAACAATTTGAATTTACTACCAACAACTTTTTTCATAAACCAGAAAGAATCTTTGAAGGAAATAAATCTTGATCAGAACCGATTTAATATTCCGGACTCATTAATGTATTTGCAAAATTTGAAGAGATATCTTTACGAAACAATTTGATATCTGAGTTTTATAAAAACGATCAAAAGATTTTTGAAACTCTAAACAATGTATCACTCTATTTGGAAGGGAATCCAATTTCTTGTATTTGTTCAAGTTTGAAATCTCTACTCTGGATGAAAAATAACAAGCATCTCTTTGCTGACTTGGGTAGAATCTCATGTGCAGGAAGTAGAAATTTAATTACTCACATACTTAATAATAATGAAATTTGGAGAAAATTTCAAATAGAATGTCAAACAGAAACCTGGCTCATCGCCTCTGTGGTATTTATCGTGTTGACTTTAACTATACTTCTTATATCCTTTATTGTGCGGAAATACCGGGTACATGTGGAATACGTCATATTGAGACTAAAAAATAGATGCAACGTTTTTGTGTCGTATGGTGAAGAAGACTATGCCTGGATTATTCGTTATCTTCATCCAAAATTGGAAAGCTTAAATTAAATGTATAAATGAAAGTAGAAAAGTGTTGTTTGTGATCACTGAATGTTTTCTGGAGAGTGGTTGGGCCTCATACGCCGTCCAAATGGCAGTTACTCACGCCTTCCATAACCAGCGTCAGAGTTCCATTGTTGTCATCATCAAAGACGATATACCATTAGAGAGACTCCCGAACGATATCAAAAATATATGGTGGTGTATCGAATATTTAAGGTGGTCAACAGAAGATGAAAATAATCATTCAATAATGTTTAAGTTATCAAGTTTACTAAAACCTATTCCTGCTAAAATACCAATAGGAGATTGAAATTATGATGTCTTAGAAATATTAATTAAAAGATGTACGTAAATACTATGGTATATAACAATTTCATATACTAGTATACATATGTATGGATATATGTTTAAAGAGATGGTTAACAAAATGAAATTGATAGAAATGAACGGTGTCATACAAAATATACATGTATCATATGCACAAGTATATTTGAGGTGTTGAATTGAGAGAAGTAAAGCTTTTCGTTTATATTCTGTTTTTTATTTTCTGTTACTTTTTCTCCCATGACTTTGTAAAAATGTTGGACTCCTGACCTATAGAAAACAGATTTTGCTTAGTAGTAAATTTTTGTATATGACTTATGGTATGATGGCAGCGATATTTGCATTATATTACTTAATGTCACTTTAAATCTTTAAAGAGTTTGAATCTGACTCTTACTTAAATTTAATTCCTAAAGTATTTTGTAAACATTTGCAAAATAAATATGAAGTTTACATATGCTTAAAATCTAATGTTTTCGATTTCAAATTTCTGATTTTTCTTCAGGGCTATCAATATATGGCTATATGTTGTACATGTATAAATATTTTTATTTAGAAAAGAATTAAAGATATGTAAAGGTATAGTAAATCTTATAAGCATAAGGCAATCATATATTAAAAAAATATTGAAAAAGAAATAAAGTTTAGGTTTATGTTTATACATCTGTAATAATTATTATTTGAATTGAAATGAACTTGAGAGAACTTTTGCGCGGAAATAAGAAAAAAAATCTTATCGTTTATTATTACCCCTGTATATAAAGTGAATTATTCCAGTTAATGATTAATGAATAAAGATTCTGAACTTTAAATTTATTTTATCGTTCTTTTTCAAAAAAGTGTAAGTCAAAAAGTAATTATAACGATGTGAATTAAAGATAAATATTCGTAAACCACAGTTTCATTTATGATTTTGCATAGAAGTTTTATTTAGTTGCGGTTATATATTACATGCTGTAGTGGAATGTCCCAGTTTGTTTTTCAAATGAACCAATGAAAGAAGTTTTATGACAGTAGCAAAGTTAGGGAAAGCTCATTGATATTAATATAATTATGTTCAGGTAAAAGTATGAGTAAGCATCACAAATTCAACGACACACCCGTCTAAGATCTGACCATTTATTTGATATTAATAATTGCCGAACACAATCGCTAACAGGGACGGAGATGAAGACATCAAGCTTGAAAAACTCATCACGCTTGTGGAAATGCTCATTCTTAATATCAAACACAACAAATGAAATTTCAAATATTCAAACAACTTAACTAAAATTATTTAAAATACATAAAGTATTAAAAGAACATTTAAATAACTGGAAACCTTTTTTGTATCAAATATGCTCATACATCACGTATAGATATCAATTTGATAAACATCATTCTGACACCCAAGTAAATGAAAATTAGATAAATGAATCATTAAAGTGGGAGAAAAATTCGAACAAAAATGCTTTCAGCTAATCCAATAGAATCATTTGCATCAGGCTATATCAATTTGTGTAGTAAAAAATAAAGTCGTTAAAGGTCACGTGGTAATGTGGCGAGTTGAAGCCTTCCTGATTAGTTATATCTTTTTATTTAAATTTTGCAATTGCGTCCCGTACACGAAAGTGTTCAAGCAAGGGGTTTCTACATCATTTTCCGCATTTTCATGAATGTGCGGAATAACCGCTGAGGTCGAGAAATGTTGTTTGAAAGATAAAAGCCGAGAGATTATTCTGCATCATTCACAACAGCAAGGACGCTATTTCTATTCTGCTATCGGTTCTAAAATACGACTGATCGTTTCTCTATAGACTTCGTACGTCTGAAATATGAAGACCCAAGCAGCAACAAATGTTTAAATCTGATGGCCAAGATATTTTTTTCTAAGATTGTTCAAACTTCAACAGGTCGGAGAATTCTCGAAGTCGGATATTATCCGTTAAATCGCGTATAATACTCGATATTAGGGTATCGTTGAATCCGCGAAATCGGGTATAGGAGGTGTAATCACCTAATAAAACTTAAACAATGGGATGGCGCATGTTGTCGACTTAAGTTTCATCTAGATACACATGTTTTCTAAAGGTATCACTAGCCAAGTAAGAATTTGGGCGTCAAGATTAATGCGCTCGGGACAACAAATACCCGTGGAGCTCAGTACATTTCATGATCTGCACACAAAAAGGCGTTTGATTTGCTTTATATTTTTCCTTATGTTGAAAGTATATGCATCTTCCTAATGTTCATTCCCAACACAAAAAGAATTGTAAAGTATCAGAATTCGGGAATTTATAATAATTCCACATCAACACGACAAACAAGAACAATTTGTAAATAAATCAAATTATACGGAAACACATTTCACACACCAGATATGATGCCATGTATAAACAAGGGATTGTCTATCGAATCTAATTATGCGTCATTAACTACTTTCACATTTATCTTGTGCATAAAATCAAATTTATTTATGAATGTATATATAATGTAATGATAAAAATCTCTAAAATTTCGGCTAAAAGAACCCTCTTTCTCTTTTTTGAAAATCTTTTCTTTTTTATTTATCATTCAAACATATTTGCAGAATATGTCTTCAGCATTTTAGGAGAGACATTGATAGTTTCAGGAATACAGCTTATGAGAGAACATAACTGTTGATCGTTTAATTTCGCTAAGTCATCAATATTTTACCATTTCTTGGCGACGTCAAAGGGGGGGGGGGGGGGTAAAGGCTTCTTGACCACCTCTGACAAAACAACCTCGACTGTGTTCTACATGTGTCCAAGAGACCTCTCTTCGAGTGTCACAGTCGGTTTCACTCGGTCATATATTTTTAATCGTAGGGAAGATTTATTCATCAAATAAAAATCATATACATTGTAGGTAAACAAAAAGCAACCTGTTATTCTCTAACACAATATAAGATTGCAAGTAACTAGAATTCACGTTTATTTTTTAAACACATTTTTTCATTATAGATGAGTATTAGGAAAAGTTATTGCCATAAGTAATACGTATCATAGATAAAATAACTAAAAGAAAACTGTGACATATTGTCTAGAACCAATCAGACAGTGCGTTGTATTAGCATATTATAATGAGGTATAAGATAGCGATATAAAAAAATATAGAAGGTAAAGAGGTAAAATTTACCCTGTCTATCAAATAGTATCACAAGAAAACATTGATGTAACCATCAATTGTCGCCCGGGAAATATATAAAGTAAACAATGAAAGAGTCTTGATCATCAAACTGCTTCGATATATATGAAAATGCATGCGTCTAATTGATGGAGACGATAGACGCGAATATTTTGAGAACTTATAGTCGGATAAAAATCAAACAAAAAACGATACCATTTTAAACTTGATCAATTTCTCAAGTAAATGTTGGCTGCATAAAATATAAATTGAAGTTAGACATATGTATCACATGTATTCAAAAATGTATTTGATTTACAATTTTAGAATATAAAACACGAACTGTGCATAGTACGTTTTTATGCGAGAAGAAAAATTCGATATTCTAAAAAAAGGGGCCTGTCGTTTTTCGATAGTAAATGATAAGCAACTTTACATATTAAATATGAAAAACATATATATTTTTTCAGATTCACTTTATTATTTGAGAAATTCAATGTATTATAAGCTCATGAAAATATGTACACATTTGAGTTTTATTTATACCCCCCACCCCCTACCAAAAACATAAAAATAAATAAAAAAAAACACAAGAAAATCCTGTTCATATGACTTCTCGCTCTCAATTTTCACACAAATGCATAAAATAAAGGTAAAATAGCATATCTTGTATCGATTAAAATGCAACCAAAAAATTTACGGTGTTTTTGAATAAAAATTTCATGCTAAATTGATATATTAAAGATAGTTACCTTCAATTAGCTATTTTCAAACTGTTTTCCCGTGGGTATTTATTTAATCTTATTTTATTTTCTTCTTTATAATAACGTTGGTATTCTTTCATGGCAGAGATATACAATTATGACTCGCTTATGCTGTACTCTCTAACTGTTAGGAATAATCCATATTTCACGAAAAAAGGACGCCATATATATTTTTCAGTAAAAATACATAACACGGCGTTAGTCGTTTAATTTCTTTAAAATTTCAAGTTTTGTGAATAGTTAGAAAAATAGGTATATTGAATACTTTAATTGGAAATAAAGACAAACGAAATGTAGTTATTTGTTTTTAGAAATTATATTGAAAATAATGACGCCATTGTGTACTCTTTGTTACCCCAGCTGTGTTTGTCGTGTGATTTTAAACTTATTTGACAACCGTATGAATTAGGTTTAATAAGAATAAATCCACGAGATACTGATGTACAAGTAACAGTTACTGGCATAATGCGCTGTTGCTTTATTCTTTAGTTTTGATAGAAAGTTGCACGGAATACCCGATTTCGCGGAATCAACGATACCCTAATATCGAGTATTATACGCGATTTCACGGATAATACCCGATTTCGATATTCTCTCCGACCTGTTCAATGGCAATGTGACATAGGGTAGAATTCGATATCTAATCTGACTGGCAAAACAATATGATTTTATATTTTTCGTTCTTGTCTTTTGCTTAATCTCGACGAAAATGTAAGAAACAAATTGATATAATCTAAAAGAAAAAACGACATAAAAATAGATCATGCTATTTAATGTAATTATGTTTCATTCACATTGATAGTGTTCAAATATTGCTCAGACACATCCTCGTTCTGAACAAATTATACGATGTCTTTTTGCTACTTTCTAAACTGTTAGCACAATAAAAAGAATATAATAAAAATGACCGTTTGCATTTAATTTTAGATATTTGTTCATCAAACACACTGAGAAGATGAATAGATTTTATTTTGCAGAAGTATTAGTTCTTTTCTTACTTGAAATGTGCGTGTAATTGCTACCTGAAAAGAAATGGAAACGTTCTTGTTAATAATACGGATTATTTAAACACAGAAAAAATAAGTGTTTTTATCAATGAGAAATACCAGACTGTCCCTGACATATGAAAATATTATGAAACAAACGAGATACATCAACACTAGTTCAATGTCAATCCTCTATAAAAAGTAAAACCCTCGCGGTTTATTAAACTTTGACAGTCAATCAGGCGGAAACTATTTAGCCAACGGTGAAGAGGGCACCGGGTGTAACACCAATTTTTTAGAGCATGGCCATAAATCCAAAGAGGAAGTATATGATAGGATTCTACTAGATATTTATGTCACTGAATAGCAAAGTACATCTACCAGTCCTTTACAGACCGTAAAATGCTTTGAAACATTATTGTAAGTATTAAAATATCTATCTAGTTGTTTTATATGTTTTAAATGGATAATCATTGTAACCTTGGCTTTACATGCTTGAGGGCCATGGGAAAAACATGTGATCTTTAAGAGGTTTAAAGTTTTAAATTCAGCAGCAGATGGAAATCTAATTCTGTAGACTATCCTTATTGTTCAATGTTTTTGAAAAATATTATTTATCTATTAGTCCTTTGTTTTTTAAAATACTTACCCTTAAAATCAATATCATTTTTATTTCAGATCATATGAGTCTAATATATCTGGACTGAATGGATCATGAATGACACTGGTGTAGGAATATTCAAGTTTCTTTTCTGTGAGTATGTTAGTTTTCATGTAAGATTTTGTTTCATGCAAGTTTTAAGAAAAATCTCATAATGTTTTGTTATAGTTCACTGCACATTCAATTCTGAACAAACTTAAGAGTGAACAATAAAGTAGTGAAGAAACCTAATTACTTCAAAGTTTGTGAATTTTTATTGAATGATTTTTTTATTGACAAACTCTATATTTTAAATGTGTTAAAGTTCAATCAATGATGAAAAAAATGTTTTTTTTTAATTTCAAATTAAAATTCGAAGTATACATGAAAACAAAGCAGATTCCGTCATAATAAGTTAAAAAAATTTATTTGTCACTACATTTAGTTCTTTTTACACAAACCAGAAATTGTTTAAGAAGTCACAAGCATGTTTTCTTTTCTGATATATTTTTTTAATAAAACCTTATGTGCAGGAAATCATTTTTCGATTAAATCCATTTTCCAGTCAAGCTTTTAACCTCGTTGTCTATTCCATATATCATTACTAGATAATAAAAACTTTCTTTACTTTAAAGTTGCTGTTTGGTGTAGAAAATTATTCTAACACGCAGAATTGCTTTTAAGTTTTATTACTAGAACAGAAACACTTCACTGTTCCCTTCATGATTTGTTATATAAAGGTGCAGAGATGAAAATGTAATGCGAAATGTAAAGATGTCAATATACAATTAATCAAAACAAAAAAAGAAAAGTTTAGACAAGTTTTCAAATTTTTACTAAATGTAAATTTTTACTATCTTCATAATAATAAAACAGAATGATGTCTGACCATTCTTTATTTACAGTTAGTAACCTGGTTATCTTTTTAAATCCTTGTCCAACGGTTCCATACACAGATGAATGTGGCAACTTTGGGATTCTATGGAACTGCAGTGGTCTCAATACAGACAGACTACCAGAAAACATACCACAGGAGCTAATAAACCGTAACGTGGCTTTGGATTTGTCATTTAATAATTTTTCTACTTTAACGGAACAACTCTTTGAAAATTTGGCTGCTGTATCAGTTGTGACATCCATTATCCTGAGTCATAACAAAATTACAAAAATCGAAAATAAGACCTTCCATAGACTTTCTGGTTTATGCAGTCTAGATCTTTCAAGTTGTGAGCTTGATAAAAAGGGAATAGAAGTTGAAGCTTTCTCCTATATACACAACCTGAAGTACCTTCGAATTGATCAGAATAATTTCCAGGCGGATGGTTACCCGGATGTTGCCCTTTCTGCAATTCAGTCATTGTCGAGTCTTCATATCGACATTTTCAGCGGATTCTCATTTACAGCACCATTTGAAAACTTAACAAACTTATCTGAATTACAGTTTCATATTGTAAATGATTTTAGTTTAACAAATACTTCCTTTTTAGGACTACGGCGCTCTAAAATTCATGATCTGATAATGTATTTTAAAAATCATGTGTTTTGTGACGTCACTGAAGATCTGTTTTGTTCCTTTCCATATCTAACAGAAAATGTAACAATTGACTTTGGTGGGAAATGTGACATCACTCCAGCCTTGCGCTCTCTTAAATGCTTCCAGCATCACGATATTGGAAAAATTTTTATGGATCAAAACACTAAAGATCTTGAAACAGGTATCATAGTTTTAGATGATTGGTTGTCAGAATATCTTATCAATGTATGTGTCCGTTCCCTATCGTTAGGACAGAACGGCATTAACTCTATAAACATTAATATTTACTATACAACTTTATGGAATTGCCTACAGTATTTAGATTTAAGCAGAAATCATTTGCATGTCGTGGATTTATCTATCGTCCTTTCTTTGTTATCAGCGCCGAACATAAAGAATATGCATTTGTGCTGCAATAATCCACGCACCACGGAAAACCAGTTGAATATCTATCATTATGATAGATCAATATTCTTTATAAATATAACACTGTCAAAAAATCTGGAAGTACTTGATATTTCGAAAAATTACTTTCATTCGTCACCAAGTTTAAAGCTTATTGGGGAAAGATTACAAAAATTGTACATTCAAGAAACAAATTTTCCACTGGCATACGTCGACCAATTTGATTTGCCATCATTAAAAACTCTTGACATATCTGGTAATAGTTTTAAAAAAGTACACTCAGATTTATTTCAGCATTCTCGAGGAATTGAGAACTTAAATGCAATTGGCATGAATCTAGATTTCACAGAAAAATCAAATTTGAAAGATCTATTTAGAAATCTAGAAAATCTTTCTTCAATCGATTTTTCAAGAAACAAATTGAATTTTTTACCTTCCTCCCTTTTGAAAGACCAACATCATTCTTTGACAAAAATAAACCTAGACAATAACAAATTTTCTAACATTCCTGACACCTTCAAATATATGCAGAATTTGATATCTCTGCATTTGCGATACAACTTGATGTCTGGGTTCTCAAATGATGACCAAAGAATCATTGAAACTCTTGAAAATATATCAATTTACATAGAAGGAAATCCGATCTCTTGTACTTGTTCAGCTATTCAGTCTTTGAGATGGATGAGAAGTCACAAACACGTATTTTCTGATATTAATAAAACGTTATGCACGGGGAACCGAGTGCCTATCAGCCACTTATTTTATAATGAACAAATCTGGAGAAAATTTGATAAAGAATGCCAAACTAAACAATGGCTTATTTTCTCTGTGGTGTTGATTTTGATTACTTTGTCTGTACTTCTGATAGTAGCTGCTTTACGAAGATACCGTATACATGTAGAATATGTTATACTGCGACTTAGAAACAGATGGAAAGGTGTACATTTACAAAACAAAGAAAACAACTACATTTATGATGTTTTTGTGTCATATGGTGAGAAAGACTATCCTTGGATTATGCGTTATCTGTACCCAAAATTGGAAAGTTTAAATATCAAAGTATGGCTAAAGGACAGAGATTCGATTCCAGGAGATTGGGAGGCAGAAGAAATAGTGAAATGTATCAATGAAAGTAGAAAAGTGTTGTTTGTGATCACTGAATGTTTTCTGGAGAGTGGTTGGGCCTCATACGCCGTCCAGATGGCGGTTACTCACGCCTTCCATAACCGGCGTCAGAGTTCCATTGTTGTCATCATCAAAGACGATATACCATTAGAGAGACTCCCGAACGATATCAAAAATATATGGTGGTGTATTGAGTATTTAAGGTGGCCTACAGAACATGAAAATAATGATCTAATAATAGTTAAGTTATCAAATTTGCTAAAACCCGTAGATGCGTAAACACCAATAGGATTTGTAGAATCATTAAGTTATAGATGTTTTTGATAGATGTACATATACATGTATAACAAATTATTTTAAACCATGAGCATACTGTCAGAAAGTTTGTTATGAATCTGAACATGTACGATACTATTCAAAATTTATGCTCTTTGTATATATATTTGAGAAGTTCGAATTTCAAAAGCATTTCTTTCTGTCAAGTGTCTCTTTCAGGTACTTTTATTCATTTGTCTTTTTGTGTATTTATTTTGTATTTTTTACTCAGAGCAAACCTTTTTTTTCGGTACATGTAATGGTATAGTGTCGACAGTTTTAGCTTTCTTTTTGCATCTTTTATATGATAGTTTCATTTGCCCCCTGAATACCATTTTCTTTTAAATATTTACAAAAACCAAGATAATTAGAATTTACGTATCCTAATGATCGAATTATAACCGATTTTAAATATTATAACTTTTCGTCAGTTCTGTTGATAAGGAACATGGTTTTTTTGCATGATACCCTAAAATATGTTGTTACATGAAATGAATGGAATAGTATATAGCTGTGTGAAAAAAAACAGTATTATTTTCTCTGTGCTGAATTAAATTTCTTTTCTTGTCGTAACAAAAACTAACATTTTGTGATCATGCATATCAAATATCATGATGATATCACATTGAATAAGAAAATTATAAAAAAAAATAAAGAAAGCATGTAAGTGTACATCGGCGCACGAAAGCAAGCGTCTCTTATAGCGTCATGATCTCTTTTTCTGCTTCACACGCGTCTGTTAAAATTCAATAATTTTTTAAAAGTGAAAGACCACTCTTAACTAAGGCCAAGTTCGTGGCCAAGATTGTTTCCCATTGTCTGCGTTACTTTACAAACAGTACTCTACTTCTTACATACTGTAACTATTTTTGGTATAGAGGAAAAACTCTCATTGAATCTCATGCCATTTAAAAATAACTTCCCTATTAAAATCTAGTGTGTAATGTCACTTCTGTAATCTTTTTTCCTGTCTCTGATGTGTACAAACCTTATTCAAAACTATTTATTATATATCCGTGCGCCGGTTACGCGTTTTGCGACGTCATTTTCATCAAACTCAATTCCAACAACAATTTGAAAATCATGACACCAATCACCTGTTTCCAATGCTATTTATATGAAATTTTGACATATTATTAAAATTTTGATTATGATTTCACTGATTTAATTTTGAGTTTAATATTTTGAATAGTACTAAAGAAATAAAAGCAAATGTAATTATAGTTATATGCGTAAATTATTCCGAAATTTGTCCGTGCGCCGACAGACCTTATCAGCCACCATTTAAATCGTCCTAATATTATTAATATTAAAGATGTATATTTAAGAATCTACAATTTTAACAAGAACATTGATTATATTATATCTATGCAAAATTTTGTTAGTATTGGTTGCATTTTTTAAAAAAGTTATAAAAATTATCTTTTTAGGAAAACCCTCGCAGCTGTGTGAAATTATGTATATTTTACAAAATAAAGTGATAAAAGTTTTAACATCAACATCTTATAAGACTCTCATGAATGTTTTATGAAAAAAACGGTTGACATTTAAAACAAAAGTACAATTTAATTTTCTTAATTGTATGAAACATAAGGAGATAAACAGTATTCAAGATCAAAATTCCATTTTACAATACAAAATAAGTATCAGTCACATTATACAAAGATGGGGTATACGATGAGAAACCGATGCGTTTTTTTATTGAAAATGGCGTGGTTGCCTGCCGAGCACCACTAGTGATCGGACGGTGACTGAGGCCATTTTACGAATCGGTGGGGACATCGGTAGGAAGGATATGGAAATAACGAACAGTGTTCAATCTCAACGTCCATTAAACAATATACAAAATAAGAGCAGAGCAAACACGGACCTCCGAAACATCAGAGGTAGGAAATAATTCGTAGTTAAAATTCAGCGATGTCTCCAACGATGCCTCACATCGCTCCTCATCGACAACCCATCATTAACACATCTTTCAAGGATCGGCCGATGTATGGTCGATCATCGTCCAATATCCGTTGAATCTGAGGTCATCGGGGGGTTGAGTAGTGTTCAACAGATAACGGCCGATTATCGGTCGATGTTCGACCAAACAATGGCCCGTAGTTGACCGATGTACGAACGATGTTCACCAATGTATATACATCGGCCGATTATCCTGGAACATCGTTTTATGATTAGCAATAAATCGCTGGGCCTTTGTAAGTCCGGCCGGAAACCACGCCATTTTTATCATAAAACGCATTGGATGCCCATCGTATACCCATCGCTGAATAATGTGACTGATACTTTCATGACTACTAGGCCGATGTGGACCGATATCGGGGCATCGTTAACACCACAGATTACCACCGATTACCACCGGTCTACGGCAACCGGCCGGGAAATGTGACCTAGGCAATAGGAGCAGAGCAAACATGGACCTCTAAAACGTCAGACGTGGGATCAATGCCATGGAAGAGTGCGTATTCCCTGCCGACCGGTCACATCCGCCGTTTTCCCCTTGTCATGATCAGGAAATTACGGAAAAATCCATCTTCAATTAAGTCTATAAATAATGGACATACAAAAGTATTAAAAACGTGAGTCAGCATTTAACTCAATGATAAATTGTATTTGCTGACAATGTCATTGTATCGACCATAGAACTTTCGAAATTATTACTTTAAACAAGACTACTTAACTTCTTATTTCATCAAATTGTTTGTCAATAATTTAATATAACGCATGTTCTTGCGTATCAAATTAATTAAGATATAAAAACTCCGTAAGTAGGCTATGAAGATATACTGCTGCCTAAGTAAGGGAAGTTGACGATAGAAAAGTTAAAGTCATCACATTTATAATAGACCTTGGTTGTTAGATTACAATTAACGTCTTTTCAAGTACAATATCCAAATATGAAAAAGATGTGTCTAACTCTGTTGTATCTTTTGTCTCAAGCTCACCAGGATATATCGTATCGACATAAGAATGGAAATTACCATTGTTAATTGACAATACGTCGTCGATATACCTAAATGTCGAGTTGAAAGCCACAGCAAGTGTTTTTCTTCTTTTCCTCCATAAGATTTTGCACAAATTCTGCTTCATATGAATACAAAAATAGGTCTTCTAATAACAGGGCGCAATGTTACATATGGAATTTTAAGTAAATATAGTCAATCAGAAACTCAAACATCTTTGTGATGTCAACTTAGAGTACTTGTGTCTACAATCAGAATGTTTTTAACAATATAATTTTGCAAATGACCAATAAAAAGGTATGTAAATTTACGAGTTCCGTTTTTTCAAAGCACCTGTCAATGATATCAAAAAGCCTGGACTTCAATTTATTGTGGGGAATGGTTGTGTATAAAGTTGAAAACTCGTAAGTTTTTAAGCTGTTGATTTGAATGAAATCTTGTGATTTCAAATTGCCCAAAAGTTTCTGATTAACACCACTTCTTGAATAAATTGTTACTCACTACTCTTAAAGTTTCTCCTTCACTACTGTTAATAGCTTGGTGGGGAGTAAAGAAAGAGGCTTGGCTGAACGTTTACTGGAACTCGTTATGTATCTTTCTTTGTAGGATTCTTATGAAGTTTTGGAATCCAATATAAATTAATATGGTAGTTCAAATTTATTTCTTTTGAATATTAAAATTTTTCAATATTAACATATGATTTTGAAGAATGTCTTCCTTAGAAAGGAAACTATGAGTATAAGTTAGATTACCACTTGTAGAATTAAATCCAAGTTCACATAAAATACAATTTATATATAATAAGCCTTACAAACAAAGACAATGTTGTAACCAGCTTTGTCAGCAAAGACCAGTTCGTACTAATCATGTAATCTTTCTCATTAATTTTTCACTTTTGGATTATTGAATTCAGAAAGATAGATGGTTTTCATATTGCCCCTTAATCGTTTAATACGTGATTTTAACATGGATCTGAAACATTTAATCCATTCTGCCCTGTCTCAACGTCTTCTCGTTCATGTTTGGCATATGAGGAAATAAGAAAGCATTTTTTTCTTATAATTTATATATATATGCCAAAGGAAATCATTAATAGCAATAAATTGAAGGTATTATATTTCAAATTTCTTTTATCATGTGTTTAATACAATGTAAGTTTTAAGGAATTATCCCCTCGCAATGGAGCTGGAGGGTATATAATAACGCAATTCTGTGTGAAAAGAAGTGACGTTATTTGAACCTTGGATAATAATTTAATAATCGTAATTTGCTGTTTTGATTTATAGATACATGTATTTTATTTTTGCCAGGAGACAATCTGCTTTGTGGTGCCCTTGTTGTTCTGTGACTTTCTTTATGTAAAGTAAACTTATATATCTATGGATTGATCGAATAAAAGAGCGACATTTGTTATATTATTTATTTAACCTGGATTGACAAACCAAAATTTGAAATTATAAGAGCAAGTCACAGGTATTCTCTCTTCGATTTTTAACATAAAGATGACTAGAGACAATAATGTTTTGATGCAATCGTGTTCCTGTTCAGACTGATAGAACAATGCATTGATTTTTAAGGCATTAAAATCACCATTGACTTCGTTGGCACAGTAGATTGACTGCTTAAACGTAAATATTGTTATTGCGAGTTCAAGTCCCATAATTTCCCATTTCTTTTTATATTATTTTTCTTTTTGTATCTATTGTATGTTTTCTTTATTGAGTTTTAATAATATACATAACTTCATTAAGTTATAATAAACACATTACTCTTTGAAAGTCCTCAGGAAGAACAGTCCTAATGCGCTATTTTATTCAAAATGTTTGCAAAATCATAGCTACTTGTTTTATTTTCATTGAATTTCTAAATCTTTTCTGATAAAATAAGAGTGATAGAAAAGTAAAATGATTGACATTTGAAATTCTTCCACCTATGAAACTATAGTTTCACACATCCACAAATGATATTACATATTGAAAAGGTACAAGTTTATTTATAAATAGAAACAAGAGATTTCCTTTGAAATCCTTTAGTCGGCCTATTGTCGGTAAGGGAGGCATGCCTATTTGTTTAGTTCTTTGATTTGTAGAACCGATTTATCGAAAAAAGTAAAGTAGATCTAGAATAGAAGAATAACTTTGATTCTCATAGATTCAAAATTCAGAAATAGTGCAAATTAAACCTCTTGAAGAGAAAAAATAAACTGTACTTCAGGATAGAAATCTAATTCCGGATGACTATCCTCACAGATCAGCGTTTGTAATTAAAAAAAATATGCTTGATTTTGTGTCAGTTGGTACCATTAATTACAGCTTTTAATTATTCAGGAAATTCATTAGGCCCTTGTTAAATTAAAAAATCCATTGCAAGATAAGAAGGAAAAAATGTAAGCTATCCCATTGGTTCTGTTTTAAGCATTTTTTTCTTAAAATAAATGTTACATTTATTTTTCTGTCAGGTTTTATAAATCATGTTTACTTAAGCTAAAAGAATCATGAAAGATACAGGGCAACGAATATTCGATTTTCTTCTCTGTGAGTATTCTAATTGTCATGTAATTAGATTTTGATTCAATGAACTTGATGACATAAAATGCATTATCACAAAAAATTCATAATGTCTTGTCAAAGTACACTACACATTAACTCTAGTAAAGCAATCAAGGAAGGAAACAGAAATCTCATTTATATTTACAACTTTTTCATTACACTCTTTAGTAAAAATTATTCCTTTTCTAAAACTTGTTCTTGTTGCTTGATCAGGAAAATTTAAGTTGAGTGAAAATGTCATTTATTGCCAAGAAAAGTGACAAGGTGTGAAAAGCATGTAGGATGTACAATTACCAGCATTAATGTACCTGAAAAGCTAGGATGGGGTCAAATGATGAATGATTTCAATGTAGATATGTTACACTGCAACTAAATGCTTATTACAGCTATTTATTTTTATTGCAAAGTTTGTGTTACAAAAATGTGGTATACAAAAACGAGCCACTGGTATGTTAGTATACCTGGAATAATTTAAAAATTCAGAATATATGGGCAGCTTTATGCTAAATTCGAACCTTAGCGCACAGTCTTCATAGGTAACATTTAATATCGCAATATTTGGAGTTCATAATTACAGTACAATTTACTTGAGCAGCCATATGTTGACCTAACAAACATGGTACATAGTTTTGAAAACACATTTTGAACAAACTGTGCTGACCTCACTAACTAGATTATAGGTCATATGAGAAGCCATATGCCGAACTGATTGGCATAATTAAGCAGTCATTAATTCTGCTGACCTCATATCATTTTAATTTGAATTATTCTGACCTGATGACTTTAGAGGATTTAAAACTATTTGAGAATTCATATGCTGGTTTCATGACCAGAATTACAAAATTAATGATAGAACAATGAAAAATGTTACATCAGAAGCTAATACATTGGCAAATCTTACTTAGCAACATAGAGAACTGTCAGATGCTGACTTCTCTATTATGATGTTTGGTGGCAGTAAAAAAGGAAATATTAAACTTTGCAATCCTTTACATGAAGATCAAGTTTGGCAAATTTTGAATTTGAAAATATTTATCCGTCAATGCTGACTTCTCTATTAAAGTGCCAACAATGATGTTGACATTTTCAAACATTTTATGGTGGCAGTAAAAGAAGAAATATTTAACTTTGCAATCCTTTACATGAAGATCAAGTTTGGCAAATTTTGAATTTGAAAATATTTATCCTAATGTAATGACTTCTTGCCTTAAAGTGCCAACAATCAAGTTGGAGGATGACATTTTCAAACATTTTATTCTTTGTCATCTCTGTGGCAGCACAAATGCAAACAATATTTTGCATGTTACTATGAGATGTCATAAAACGGAGAGGATCGAATGCATCCAGATTTGATGGTGAATAAAGGGCCAGACGTGTGTTCAAACTGAGCAATGTACAGTTCTAAAACTTGATTGGACACACCGACGATTCAAGTTATTGTCTGTCAAAGTAATTATTATTAGCTGCCTATCACTTGATTTGGAGTACCTGAGTGTGATGCTGTTTGTGTATGAACAACTTCTAAGACGAGTGAATTATTGACAAACAAGTTGATGAAACAAGAATGTCAACAGCAGTCTCGTTTAGTCATCATTTCGTAAGTTCTATTGTTGATACAATGACCTTGTCAGCAAATACAATTCATCATTGAGTCAAATGCTGACTGACGTTTTTCATACTTATTGTTAGTCCATTATTTTACTCTAAATTGACGACGGATTTTCCATTGTTATTTCCTGATCATGACAAGGAGCCCACGGCGGGGGTGACCGGTCGGCAACGGATGCTCACTCCTCAATGGCACCTGATCCCACCTCTGAGGTTTTGGAGGTTCGTGTTTGCTCTGCTCCTACTTTATACTGTTTTATGGATATTTGATCTTGAACCCTGTTCATTATCTCTATATGTTTCATTGTACAGTCTTCTTCGTTTATTTGTATCCGGGAGTTATTGTCTTATTGTGTCTAGATCTGTGTTCTAAAGCTTGAATTCTACTTACCAAAATTGTATAAAAAGATTACACTTAAACGAATTGAAAATAGCAAACATTTCGTTTAATAGATAAATGATAAAGTTAAAAGTATCACTGGTAAATTGATTTGGTTGGAATTTTGATTAAAACCTATGAAGCCAGAAATGGCCTCTCAGAATATTTAACCAATGGTATTTCATTAAAAAGTATGCAAAAATATTGATTGTTTTAATGTATATATTGATTGATATCGCTGATATTATAGCTGTTGTTGAAGTTGTCAATAAATTGTCAAACAGGAAAAAATAAATTAGTTGTAATTGCATTTGGCTTTAATGTTATCTAAAGGAAAGTTATCAGATGCCCCAAACACTTAGTGACAACTGCTGACACTAAATTTCTAATCAGAGAACATTATTCTTATCATATTTTTTTTATCTGCTTTATATCACAGATTTCAAAAAATCTTATATGATTTCATGCTTTCATGCACTTCGGTGAACAATAATAATTAAGCACGAATCACACTCGGGTTCTTCAAATCAACTGAGATATATATATAAGCTCCTTATGCAGTTGAAGAAGGTATATTACTGTTTAAATAAGAGAAGCTGACGATTCGAAATTTGAAGTCATCACTTTTATCATAGAGCTTGGTTGATAGATTACCATTGAACGTCTTTAAAAAAAATTGTCCAAATATGAAACAGATACGTCAGACTCTGTGTTATCTATTATCTTAAGCTCACCAGAATATATTGTATCGAGATAAGAATCGATATTTGAATTCTTTTCATTGAAACTGAATTTCTGCTTTCTACTTAAAAGATAAAACTGAATGCTATATAAATCAATCTTTATTTACAGTTAGTAGCCTAGCTATCTTTTCATACCCATGTCCAACAGTGCCATACACAGATGAATGTGGAAACTTTGGGATTCTTTGGAATTGCAGTGGCCTCAATACAGACAGACTACCAGAAAACATACCACAAGAGTTAATAAAACGCAACGTGACTTTAGATTTGTCCTTTAATAAATTTTCTACTCTGACGGAACAATGTTTTGAAAACCTGGCTTCTATTTCAGTTGTGACATCCATTATCCTGAATCATAACAAAATTACAAAAATTAAAAATAAGGCCTTCCGAAGACTTTCTGGTTTATGCAGTCTAGATCTTTCAAATTGTGAGCTAAATAAAAACAGAATAGAGACTGAAGCTTTCTCCTATATACACAACCTCAAGTTCCTTCGAATTGATCAAAATAATTTCCAGTCGGAAGGTTACCCGGATGTTGCCCTTTCTGCAATTCAGTCATTGTCCAGCCTAAATATCGATATTTTCAGCGGATTTTCATTTACAGCACCATTTGAAAACTTAACCAACTTATCAGAATTACAGTTTCATATTGTAAATGCTTTTAGTTTAACAAATATTTCCTTTTTCGGACTTCAGCGCTCTAAAATTCGTCACCTTAATATGGCTTTTCACGGCAGCGTGTTTTGTGACGTTACTGAAGATCTGTTTTGTTCCTTTCCATATCTAACAGAAATGGTTAGAATTCATTTCGGTGGAAAATGTAACATTACTGCAGCCTTGCGCTCTCTAAAATGTTTCCAGCATCGCAATATTGGAAGCATCTATTTGGATCAAAATATCAAAGATCGTGGAGCAGATATTATTGTTTTAGATGAGTGGTTGTCAGAATATCTTATCAATGTCTGTGTCCGTGCTTTATTTTTACAACAGAATGGCATTAACTCTATAAAAATTAATATCTATAATACAACGTTATGGAATTGTCTACAACATGTAGATTTTAGCAGCAATCATTTCTATCATGTGGATTTATCAAGCATTCTTTCTTTTTTATTTGCACCGAACATGAAGAATATGAATTTCTGCTGCAATATTCCACAAACCATGGAGAATCAGTTTAATTTCTATCAATGCAATAAATCAGTATCCTTTATAAATATAACACTGCCTAAAACACTGGAAGTTCTTGATGTTTCGAAAAATTATATACATGATGTAAAAAGATGGATACCCAGTTTCAAACTTATTGGGGAACGATTACAAGAATTGTATATCCAAGAAACAAATTTTCCACTGTCATATGTCGACAAATTTGATTTGCCCTCACTGAAAACTCTCAACATATCTGGTAATAGCTTTGAAAAAGTACACTCAGATTTATTTCAGCATTCTCGAGGAATTCAGAACTTAAATGCAATTGGCATGAATCTAGATTTCACAGAAAAATCAAATTCGAAAAATATATTTCGAAATCTAAAAAATCTATCTTCAATCGATTTTTCAAAAAACAAATTGAATTATTTACCCTTTTCTCTTTTGAAAGACCAGCATCATTCTTTAATGAAAATAAACCTAGACAATAACAAATTTTCTAACATTCCTGACACCTTTGAATATATGCAGAATTTGAAATATCTGCATTTGCAATACAATTTGATATCTGGGTTCTCAAGGAATGACCAAAATATCATTGAATCATTTAGTAAAATATCAATTTACTTAGAAGGAAATCCGATCTCTTGTACTTGTTCAACTATTCAGTCTTTGAGATGGATGAGAAGTCAAAAACACGTATTTTCTGATATTAATAAAACGTTATGTACAGGGAACCGAGTACCTATCAGCCACTTATTTTATAATGAACAAATCTGGAGAAAATTTGATAAAGAATGCCAAACTAAACAATGGCTTATTTCCTCTGTGGTATTGATTTTGATTACTTTGTCTGTACTTCTTATAGCAGCTGCTTTACTGAGATACCGTATACACGTGGAATATGTTATATTGCGACTCAAAAACCGATGGAAAGGTGTACATTTACAACACAGAGAAAGCAACTACATTTATGATGTTTTTGTGTCATATGGTGAGAAAGACTATGCCTGGATTGTTCGTTATCTGTACCCAAAACTAGAAAGCTTAAATATTAAGGCATGGCTTAAGGACAGAGATTCAACTCCAGGAGATTGGGAGGCAGAAGAGATAGTGAAATGTATCAATGAAAGTAGAAAAGTGTTGTTCGTGATCACTGAATGTTTTCTTGAGAGTGGTTGGGCCTCATACGCCGTGCAGATGGCGGTTACTCACGCCTTCCATAACCAGCGTCAGAGTTCCATTGTTGTAATCATCAAAGACGAAATACCATTAGAGAGACTCCCGAACGATATCAAAAATATATGGTGGTGCATAGACTACCTTAAATGGCCTTCAGAAAGAAATGAAGACGAAGATTTATTGCGTCTTCAATTGTCTAATTTGCTCAAGCCCACGTAATTCTGATTAAAAGGCTTCGATACGGTTTTTTATTTCTCTATAAGTTGAAAAAAAATAAGATGGGATATAAGTTTGAAGATGAATCTTCACAATGATTCCCCATATATATGATTTTCAGGAATTGAAATCAAAGCTCTGACAATCTGATTAATGTTTACTTTTTCGAGGATATTTTTTCAAAGATTGATGAGATGTGTTTCACTGTGTACTACAGTATGTTCTACAACATGTTTTAAGAAAAATGATATACGAGGGTTGTTAGAAAAGTTTGCAGACACATTGAATTACAGAAAATCTATTGTGTACTGTGAAGTATGACCTATGTCTGAATGAATTCCTACATTTTGTTTATTGGTATGTAAAAAATCAGGTCCATAAAATAAAATCTTGAAATTTTACAACTATTTTTACTATTGGGTCATGGGATTCACGGAGCAATCACTTGACGTAAGCAACGTCACAACCAGATTTCAACCCGTTAAGCTTTGTCGCAGTTCTATAAATTTCTTCAGATTTTTCTTATCTATTTGCTGCTTTAAAATTGAATATCTATATCAAGACATGTTACTTTTCTACTTTAATGTATTTTGTACTTATTCGGATGTTATTGAGATCTTAACAAATAAAAAAGTCTATGCAGTTAATAGATAAGGTATGGAAACTATGCAAAACCATATAGACGCAACGCAACGTCCATGCGATAAGGGGGAATTGAAGTATCGATGGAGTTAATCGTTCAAAATGTTACTCCTTCCATTCTTATAAAGCTACAACCAAATGAAAACTTGTTCTTTGTATGTGTAGGGAATTCCCGGCAGCATCTTGAACATTTAAATCTCTTTTTAGACATTTTCCTGTCTGCACACATAATTTTTACTTAGTGCAGTGCTCCATGACGCTCAATGACGTTCCGATTTTTGGCTGTGTTTTAACGCGTTGATCATTTATAAACGGCTATAAAACAGTCATATACCCCCCAATTTAGTTCAAAATTTCTCCCAGTGACGTTTCCTGCATACTTTAGCGGCAGGTAAAATATCATAAATCTCTTTGCGCTACAATTGTGCAATTTTTAATTTTAACAAAGAGTCTTTGTGATGTAATCTTGCCAAAATGTAGCATGCTCCATGAAGTAAGTTTTATCAAATTAAAAATGCTGTATATTTTTCAATAATCACCAGAGAACACCAAATTCTTGTATATTTTTGGAAAAAAGGTTAAGATTTTATCTGGAAAGTTTGACCGGTTTAGTGGAAATAGCGCGCTCACAATAGAACTTGTCCGCGAACTTTTCTAACACCCCTCGTATATATTTGTTATTATGGTTAGTTTTAAATTAAAGTTAATTCTTATCCAAATCTTTTGTCCAGAGTAAATTATGCATTGTTTTTATACACTTGACGGTTTTCAAAACTACAAGTCTTTTTTTCTGTAATGTTCTCGGTTTTCAAATCGTTTGAACTATTTTTTTTGTTACTTAATGGTTAAATAATTTTTTAAAGAGTTGTAATGTATGTTTCAACTTGATTTATTCAATAATTTGTATATTTGATTTATATTTAATATCTATAAAAATGAAAAGATAAAGTTAACCAGATAGTTTATTTTTCTCTTTAAGTTTCAATTTCTAGTCACATATGTTTAATAAAATGATGTCGCGGAGTCACATGAATAAAGCAAATATACCAAAGTTTTTACACTATGAGACTTTATGGAACATTGATTGTATATGTAATTTATTAACCACATTTTGGTTACTGAGCTTGATAACTTGGAGTTTGCAGTACGGTTAAGGTTACAAATGGAAATAACAGACATTTAAATTTTTTTATTTAGACTTGTCACGTGATGTCGACGTCACATGATTTTAGCAATTATACTTGCAGTTTAGAGGTCATCTATAAATTCCAATATTGCAAGGGCATAACCAAGTTAAAACTCTTAGTCTAATTTATAATCCTTTTCAACACTATATGCAGTTTGTGAAAAGTGCTGAAAACCTATATAGATTCACGTTTTTAATTGCAAAAATTAAATTTGTTGGACGGCAGGTTGAATATTTTGCTGGTCAACTACACTAAATATTGCTATAATTAATTTATTTGCAAGATTTTATGAGGTTCGCAGCACTTTTCAAATATCTTAATGCTTCTTGAGTTTATGTGTAAACATAGAGGGTATGCCCTTGCAATAAATCGATTTATTAGGGCCCTTCCATTACTTTTTCAATGAATCTACAGACAAACACACGACAGTATCACTTGTCTGGAGAATGTACTGACAGTTTATACATAAAATACTTAAACAGACATCGCATCCAAGTAATCTTTGCTAGCCAAGGGTTTCTGATGCGCTACTCTCCTCATAAACCCTTGGCGTACGGTGAAGTCAAAAGACGGGATTGTTTTCGTCACGTGATCTTGAATCAATCAGGTACACACAGATTGCGTCATCGACAGAAATAAAGACGCATGTATCAAAAAAATTAAATCATTTTTTTTCTTCAAGAATATTTAAAAAGTAATAATTAAGTTATGTTTATTTATTATTTATAGTTCAAAGTGGAAGCTTCAATATAGATTTTTAATCACATATTTGGAAGATATCAATTCGATGACACCATATCTATTCATAGAACTGCAAGTTATCTTATGGATCATTGTTTACTTGCTTTTTTCATTTCCGAGATTAAAGAGTCAAGAAGTATCCCGAGCACAAATATCGTAATTTAAAAAACAATTGCTGATCGATTGGTCGACCGGGTGTACCGAATCCCAATCAGAACTCGAGGAAAAAGAACCCAACTAGAATAGCGTATCAGAAACCCTTGGCTAGCGAAGATACATCCAAGTTAACGGCCTTTTATTTAATTGCAAATAATATTTTATTTGAGAACAAAAGACATTTTTCATTGTACAAAATGTGACTTGATCAACCTCTCACTATATACAAACTGCGTCATTTTCGCGAGATGACGTCACATTGACAAGTACATTGCGATCGATGCATCGTTTATTTACTGTTGTGTGGGATTTAACAAACGACAACAATGCATGTAATAGTAAGTTTGTATGTAGTAAACAGATATCCAGCTGTTTGAAAAAGCAAGTAATTTCATTTTGTGGTATTTTGAAGACCTTATATTATGTGTGACATCATAGTAAACATTTCCCGTAAAAATTAAGCCCCGCCTCCTTACTTTAACCTTAACTGTGCTGCGCACACATTTCATGGGCCGCCATTGAAATTTCTACGGTGGTTTCAATTTACTCGACCATGCATTTTAACAGTTAAAACGTGTGTCTTTATTATTGGATAGAGATTCAAGAAATCGTGTTTATATCTATCCAAGAGAATTCACACTTCGAAAATACAAATTTTTATTGTCCCCCGCTTTTGAAAAAGCGAGGATACATTAAATCTCATCCATTTGTCAGTCTGTCCGTCTGTGTCAAAGACTTTAACCTTAGTCATGACTTTGAAATGAGAATGAAACATGGAGATAACGAACAGTATTCAAGATCAAAATTCCACATAACAATACAAAGGAGGGGCCGAGCAAACACTGACCTCCACAACATCACAGGTGGGATCAGGTACCTTTAAGGAGTGAGCACCCCTTGCTTACCAGTGATACCCGCCGTGCGCTCCTTGTCATGGTTGGGAAATAACGGAAAAATCCTTTGTCAATTCATTTTATAAATAATGGAATAACATGTAGTATGTAAAACGTCAGCCAGCATTTGACTTAATGATAAATTGTCTTTGCTGACAAGATCATTGTATCGATCATAGAACTTACGAAAGGATGACTTTAAACGAGACTGCTGATATTCTTGTTTCATCAACTTTCTTCCCAATCATTTACCTTGTTAGATGTATTATTTCAGACAAAGCGATCAATGATTGCATTCATTTAGCAAAAAGAAAATGCTTTTTACATTTTTCGAAAGTTTAGATACAAATATAATATAATATAAAAAAATATATATATCACTTTTTAATTATTTTTATAAATAATTTTATATTTAAAATAAGTTCACAGAGAAATCAAATTGCTTTTGAAACTGAATGTATAGGGAATTAGGAAGTCAGAAATACAGTTTTAAACAGTACATGCCAAAAAACATATTTGTTTTAAAAAAGTCAGTTGAATTAATTGTGTGCATATCCTTTAAAGTCTGCAATAGTAAGTGGAGAAATCATAAACTAATGTTGAACAAGTTGAAAGTTAGAATAAAGCACTAGGATTTCGATATCTTGCACAAAAAAAAAACAACGAAATAAGGAGTTCTCTGTATATCAAAATTAAAATTTACTGTCAATATATACCTTTTGTACCTTTTCACAATCTGTAGAGAAAAATAAATTGAAATGCAAATCTTTTATACAGATAAACCTGAGGTGAGTATATATTCAACAAACCCATGCAGGGTCAAAGAAGGTCAGGTAGTGTCAATGACATGCAGTGTGTTGACCGCCAATCCCAATTCAGACATCACTTGGAGCTGGGTCAAAGCAGATAGCCCTAGTAAAATCCTTCATCGAGGGTCTACCTATAATATCTCCAATATACAAAGGAATCAGACAGGGACGTACAGATGTACAGCATCTAACTCGATAGAAACATCCAGTCCAGATGTCACACGAGTAGATGTACATTGTAAGCAATAATATCAGTATATACTTCAATGTGTCTACACAGGTAGGGAAATATTAATTTAATAAAATGGTATACTGGTATATACTGATGAATTCATAGCGATTATTACAATTTAATGTCATTATAATGACACAAAGTGTTTAGAATAGCCTTTATTTTCAGAACAATTTTACATTCCCAAATAAATGGAGTCTAAACGAATGAAGTTACTCGAAACACCAATTAATTAACTAACTACTTTTTCCGAGAAGGAAATAAACACACCTGTTTCGGAATCGAGAAATTTTTTCATATATACGGTAGAGAAAACTTAAATTTTATATTCCATGGAACTTTATAAATGTACCATAGCATCAACGGCAGATGTACACTACATATCACAACAGAAAAATGTTGGGGAAAAAAATCAAGTGGAACATTTTCAAAACTATGGAACAAGATGCTGTATTTAACAAGCGTCAAATTCTCATGCCGATTTCTGAGATACATCTCATATGTTTTTCAAATACAATATTGGTATTTATTTTTTCATAATTTTCTTCATCGTATTACAAACATATTTAGAACAATATAAAGTATTTCTTTTTTTACACGCCATTCACTCTCACTTTCTCACTCACACTCATTCATTTTGGTAAGTGACGCTTTATATTTGTTCTTATCTTTAAACAGAAAAAAGAGAAGTATAGTTTTATATATTCATATATACATACATGTATCAATATAACTAAAAGAAAAAGTGTCACATGTTGTAACAGTCTATACCTTAATGAGATTATCACATAAACATTTCCAGTTTTGCCAGGTATTATCAAACGTTTGCATTTCTAAGTTTTGGCTTGCAATAAATTTTTCAACTCTATATTTATTGTATAAGTGAAAGAGAAGTTCCAAGAGGTTTGGCATTTTGCCTTTTTTTAAGACAAGAAAAAAAAATATATTTTTTATTCTATTTAATTGTGTACGACAATCAAGGAAGTGAAAAAATATCGACTATCATTATTGCTGTTATTTTTCTATATAACCTACATAGATTATACAAACAAACTATACACAAATGCTTGATCGATTCTTTTTAAATATTACCATCAAGGAAGTTAAAAAAAACACAAGTATTGTCGTGTTTGACATAATTTTTTAAACCTATGATATATTTTTGCGCACATGAATAGTGAACGAGTAATTCATGAATAATATTTGAATATAGACATCAAGGAAGAGAATAATATAGAAATATGGCGGCTACATTGCTGCTGTGTATTGTGATTGTTATTATTTCCCGGGATATCTCATTTGTACAGGGTAAAGAATTACAATATGACACATGTTTCAAAGTAAGTTAAGAAATAATGAAAATTGATGCCGTTTTTATAAGTTTATTAATTTTCTTTCAAAGGATCACCAACGATAGATCTTGTTCGGGGGAACACGGTGGTTGAAGAATACGGTCTGGCTGTACGAGGAACAACGACTCGGTGTTATAGTTCATTACCGATATTTACCTGGGATTTGGTGGTAATGGTATTATCTTTCATAGCGAAGCTTTAAAAATCTAATGAAATCTTTTATATATATTAAATGAAGGATATGGAGGTAACGAACAGTATTCAGTCTCAAAGTCCATAAAACAATGCAAAATAAAAGCAGAGCAAACACGGACCCCCGAAACATCAGATGTGGGATCAGGTGCCATGGAGGAGTGAGCATCCCCTGCCGACCGGTCACAGCCGCCGTGTGCTCTTTGTCATGATCAGGAAATAACAGAAAAAATCCGTCGTCAATTCAGTGTGTAAATAATGGACTAACAATTCGTATGAAAAACGTCAGTTAGCATTTGACTTAATGATAAATTGTCTTTGCTGACAAGATCATTGTATCGACCATAGAACCTACGACATGATGACTTTATACGATACTGCTGATATTCTTGGTTCATCAACTTGGTTGTCAATAATTTACCCCGTTTTAGAAATTGTTCATACGTAGAACATGCTCTTGCGTATCGAATCAACTGAGATATATATACTCCGTATGCAGGTGATGAAGGTATATTGCTGCATAAGTAAGGAAAGTTGACGATAGAAAAGTTAAAGTTATCATGTTTATCATATAGCTTGGTTGTTAGAATACCATTAGTGTCTTTTTCAAGTAAAATATCCAAGTATGAAACAAAAGTATCGGACTCTGTGGTATCTTTTATCTCAATAAATCATACAAACATATTACATTTAGTCTATCAAGCCGTTCTTAGTTTTTAAAATTGTTTTCTGCGAAATTATGGTGGCATATTCATTGCCCCCTTAGATGCCAAACAAATTATGTCAACATGCATGAAAAATATGTCAACATGCAACATACAAAAAATGGAATTTTAAAACGGGCGAATTTCTTTACTAACGCCAGTATCTGATATCATATTCGTAGATGCAAGATGCAAAATTATAATGTCAACATGCAACTTATTTATATTAAGAAGACACATAATTATGTAGACATGTGACTTATGTATGATAACTGTCATGTTAATTAGTTTCATCTTTATTTTCCATATTTATCTTATATCTTATGTCTTTATTTCTGTCTTTATTAATGTCTTTACATTTATCTTTTGATAAGTATCTTGTTAAGTCTATAGATGGAAGTATCCCACCTGTTCAGCTGTCAGGGGATCCAGTGATAGCCACAATTGGTGGATCCTGTAGCGGTGGTTATAGTTTCTACACAGGGACTGTATCTGTGAATTACCATGTTCCTGCTGTTTACGGACAAACTGTACATTTACGTTTAACCATTAACAACAGTCCTAGCATCTCAACAACTTCTATAGGAACATTGTCATTCCCAGGTATGAACAAAGCATGCCAAATTGATGGTTAGTTGTGACCACCCCATATACTAGTGAACCATAAAACCGTTTGTCACACATTAAAACTGATCGAAGAAATGTCAATAACGTTTGTGAAAAATATGAAATGTTGTAGTATGAACAGAGGTTTTAAGGAAACTTATTCTTATTAATGACAATATTCTCTGATCTATTAATCTTACATTTTATATATTCTTCAATACAGCAAAATACAATCTCACAGGGACATCAGATATAGCAGTACTTGGGAAGCAATTTACGTGGACTTGTCAAATGGAAATTCCTCCACAAGAGAGTCATGCACTTGTAAGATTTTACAGAAATGAAACCTTCGTAGGTTATGTCGGAAATGTTACTGGGTGTAAAGGACTAAGAATAGATCCTAGATACAACTATAGCTGTGCATCAGAGACAGAGTATAATCTCATCATTCCTTCAGAAAATATGACAGAAGAGGAAAATAACACGATATGGAGATGCTCTTACTTTGGTGGAAGCCCGTCATTTAGCAGTGTCCAAAAACAATTGATAATCGGAAGTAAGATTTAAAACAGTTTTCTCCTCTTGTTTGATATGGAAATACATGTTGTGTATATTAGATTGTTATACTCAGTCTGAAAAAAAAATCATCTAATCTAAAAAAAATAGTTTATTCGAAAGCTTGACTTTTTTTGCAGAAATCATGTTTTCTACACAGTGGCTGATTAAATTATCACATTAATTATGTAATTGGCAAACTTAAAGTATAGTGACTTTACGTTCTTATTTGTTGTAAATATCAAAATATAAAATAGGTAATTGAATGTACATGTATATAATTTCAAACTACTCAATAAATTAGCTAAGTTCTTTTTCATAGAAAGTCCGGAAGTACAAATGATGACACCAAGTCCCTATAAGATTGAAGAAGGTAAAACAGCTGTTATGTCATGTGGCATTATAACCGCTACTCCTAATACAGATATTATTTGGAGCTGGGTAAAAACCGACGGGCCGGAAAACATCCTCCATAATGGATCTACTTATACAATCTCCAGTATACACAGGGGACAGTCCGGCACGTATACATGTACAGCCACAAACATTATTGGAACATCTCTACCGGCTACAGTTCAGGTCGATGTACTTTGTAAGTATTATCACTAGCAGTTCTATAGGAAATGGAAGACAATTATCACAAACCAATTCGCATACAGTATTTTTTTCTATCTACATGTTAAATATATTATTACATTGTTAAAATTATTTTATTTGAAAATGTCAGTTTTCTTTCCTTGCATTATTAATATTTTCTTATTTATATACAGTTGTATATTTTTTTTTTGACAAAGCGATCAAAGATTTCATTCATTTCGCAAAAAGGAAATTTTTTTTTTTTTTTTTTTTATATACATTTTCCAAAAGTTAAAATAAACATATAACGTATATCCCTTTTTAATGATTTTTATGAATATATTTATATATAATAAGTTCACAGAGAACTCAAATTGCTTTTGAAACTGAATATATAGGGAATCAGGGAGTCAGAAATCCAGGATTAAACACCACATGCCAAAAAAAAATATTTATTTTAAAAAGTCAGTTGAATTAATTGTGCGCATGTCCTTTTAAGTCTGCAATAGCACCATTAAGTGGAGAAATCATAAACTAATGTTAAACATGTTGAAAGTAAGAATAGATTTTGATACCTTGTCAAAACACACAACAAAATGAGTTCTTTGTACATCAAAATTAAAAGAGGGTGTTGCAGAAACACGCGATTATTCCCTATATATCGAGAAGGACATTTAAATACCCTCGTTTTGTCTAAATATAGATACAGCTATGTAGAGGACTATGTTAACAGTGGGTGTTTCCTGCTTGATACAGCAAAACACTTTCGTCATTTTGCACGAAAAAGGTTGGAACAACAAAAAGCTTATTGGCTAAAAGATATAAAGATAAAAGATATACTGTAGACATCGTGCTAAAATATTTTTCATGAAAGAAAACTGCGTCCCATGCATTATCACACTGTTGGTGCTACATCCAAGACATCTCATTTGCTGTTACTAACTAAGAGACCAGAGTTATTTAACATTGCAATAACTACAGTACGTAAAAAATTAATAATTTAAACAATACAGTAACTTTATTTTCCAAGACAAAACTAAATAAAGCATTAGTTTTAAGTCAAAGCTCATCGAGGAAAACAATTTAATCCTATATTTCAAATATACAGTTATTACATAATTAACTTCTTGACATCCCCCCACTCTCTCTCTCTCTTTCAAATAATATCTAATTTCATTGCATTACCATTGTATATGGGAAAAAATAAGACAAAAATATGCAAAAATGATCCATTCCAGGATTCGAACACATTCTCTGGTAAAAGTACTAGTTGGAAGCCCACCAGCATATCCACTAGACCATTTCCAACACGATGATTATCAAGTGATATTTAATGTACACATTTTGCATTTCGTTTTGAGAATAATTTTATTCAATTTTTGCGTTTTTTCAAAAATGTGCCTATTTGAAACAAAAATCGGAAATGACAGTTTTGAAGATAATTCCTGCCTCTCTGTGTATATATCAAAATTATTCTGTTTCAAGGAGGCATTTTTTCAGAACAATTGGCATTCCCTATTTAAAAAACGGAAAATCTGATATATTTTGCCGTGAGACTAATTTTCACATCATTTAATAGCAAATTGGAAGTCAATATGCAGCTTCAAAATATTGTTTCTCGTTGTGCTTTATGTATTGTTGCATTTGAAAAAAATTAATATGAGTTTCTGCGACATAAAAATTCTTCTTTTAATCTGCTACACATTTAGGGAAAATAACAAAAGAACTGCAACACCCTCTTTACTGTCAAAATATACTTTTTGTGCCTTTTTACAATCCAACTCTGTAGAAAAAAATGAAAATCTTTTATGCAGATAAACCTGAGGTGATTATAAATTCTACAAACCTATACAGGGTCACAGAAGGTCAGGTCGCGTCAATGACATGCAGAGTGTCCGTTGCTAATCCAAATTCGGACATCACATGGAGCTGGATCAAAGCAGATAGTCCTAGTGCGATTCTGCATCAAGGGCCTACCTATACAATCGCCAGTATACAAAGGAATCAGACAGGGATGTACAGGTGTACAGCTAGTAACTCGATAGGAACATCCTATCCAGCTACAATACAAGTAGATGTACAATGTAAGCTTTATTAATTCAATGTATACATGAACATATTTATGTGTGGTGTTACAAAAAATTATTAGGGAAATATTGATTTAATTAGATGGTATAATGAAAGAAACTAATGTTTAAATAGGGATTATTAAAATTTACTGTCATTAAAATGACACAGCGTGTCTTTAATTTCCGAAAATTGCAACATTCCTTATCAAATAGAGTCGATTCGAATTGAGTTACCCGTAACTTCAATGAATTAACTAATTAATTTTCCCTAGAAGGAAAATAAACACACCTGTTTCGGAAGCGAGAAATTCTTTCATATATAGAGAAAATTTAGATTTTGTATTCCATGAAACTTTATAAATGTGCCATAGCATCAACGACAGATGTACGTGTACCAGGACAGAAAAAAGTGGAAGATTTTCAAAACGATGGAACAACGTGCTGTATTTAACAAGAATAAAATGCTTCATGCCTTTTCCTGAGAAAACGTAATATTATACATGTTACATGTATTTCAATAATAATATTGGCATTTTTTAAATCCGAATATCAGATTTAATTTAAAATAACGTCTTATTTGAAAGCATACATGTGAGTAACTGAAATCAAACTATAAATGAATTAATCGGTAAAATTGAAAGTTATTCTATGAGAAGAATTTGGTTTTTAGATAAACCCGAAGTAAAAATCACTCCGCTTAATCCGTACAGAGTTAAGGAAAGTACACCTGCTGTGATGTCATGTATTGTGTTGACTGCCAATCCATATATAGGCATCCGATGGAGCTGGATCAAGGAAGACAATCCTGATAGTATTATTCACACGGGATCAACGTACGAAATCTCCAATTTACAAAGAGATCAGTCTGGCACGTATAGATGTACAGCCATCAACTCTATAGGAACATCTAATCCAGCCTTTTTACAAGTAGATGTACAATGTAAGTGAAAATCTTGCTATAAAATAAATATTGTATTATAATTTGTCTGAAGAATTTGATTGATTCACTTAGATGGATACACTGAGAAGGATATTAGGAAAAAAGGTAGGTTCTTGAAAAAATGGTTTTAGGCGAAACGTAAGCAGGGCTTGAAAGTTGTGTGTATTTAAGGGACAACAGCTAGTATATTACTGTATTATTTTTCTAAATATCTAAATAATCTAGCTTTCCAATCGTTAACTTTCCATTAACATGAATATCTCTTTGTAAGTTTGTTGTATTGTAACATCGTCTGATACTAGTGTGACGTCAGTTGTCAGTTGTCAGCTATCAGGCTTCTTACAAGATCATTTTCATTGACCTTGTAGAGAAGATTCCGATGCGGATTTCTCTCTTTATACGAGGGGCTTTCAATAAATAATGTCATTGGGGCTCGGAAAGAAAAAAAAAAAAAAAAAAAAAAAAAAAAAAAAAAAAAAACGTTTTTCTATGACTAAGTCTTAATAATTTAGCTAAAATATTCTCTTTCCATTAAAACGCATATCTGTAACATTTTCACTCAATTTCTAATTGTTTTTCGAACACATGTTTGAGTATGACCCTTCATATACTGGAATATGGCAGATCCTATGATTTGCTGTACTTGTTTTTTTCTTTCTGATAGATGTTTTTCTAAGTTTAGGAAATGAAACAAGTCAAAGGTTGAAAGATCTGGCAAATTTTGTTGGTGTGACAAAACATTAACTTTCTGTTTACCCCCAAAACTCCTTTACTCTTCATGGCCTGTGGTTTTGGACGCAGTCAAGAAGACATTTAATGTAGTGAATTCCTCATTCTGTTTCCTTCCTCTCATACACCTTTCAATTTTTTTTGCAAAAAAATTGTTTTCTAGACCCCTCCAGAAATTTGAACTTTCTCCCCGAATATGAATTTGAAGAACAAGACCGCTAATATTTAAGAAAATAGCTTAGAAAACTGTGTTACGCTCCTGCAATTCTTTGCTCTGTTTAGGCCTTTGCAGTTTTGTCAAGTGCATGTTATTGTAAATTGTTTTGAGGGCTTAAAGCAAAATGGATTCAAGTTTCATTATCCGTTAGAATTTCATACAAACGTGGAAAAGTACAATTTTTGATTTTTTAAAATAATTGTTTGGATATTCCTACACGCTGTCGTTTTCACTCATTTTTCAAAATATAGGGTGACCTTTGAGTATTAAACCTTTTTACTATAAAATGTTTCTTTAAAACAGTATAAACTATCCCCAAAATGAATTTATCAATTTTGCTATATGTCTTAAAGTCAATAAAACATAATCAGTTATAATTTGTTGAAATTTCGCAAATTTACATCGGTTGTTGTACATGTAAGTCATTGTTGCCAAGGACGGTACCCATTTTTGATGCCCATTATATAATTTTTGTTTATTGAAATCTACATGTTCACCTGCCTATAAAACAGGCATTGATTGCTGCAAATTTCACATATTTTAGTTAATATATTTTTGGGATATTAACGAGTTTTACAGGTGCTTTAATGAAACGTTTAATTTCAGTGTCTCGAATAGCCCTTGTTTTCCAGCTTCCCACGATGAAATAATGTGATAAAAAGTGGTCACACAAACTGTTATCAATTCATTTAAAATTCAAAAATGAAAGAAAGTCAAGCTTTATGTGATATGACTACTATGTTGTATGCCATCGAGCTAATGACATTATTTATTGAACGTCCCTCGTATTTTTCTTTCGATCATTCTTTTTCATAGAAGTCACTTTTGTAGTGAGTGGAAGCAAATGAAAATTTATCTTTTTTTAATGTAAGTTAGTAATTAATGTTCCATAAATATTCTTCTATTTAAAGAAATACATATACCTAAATCTATTTTACATATATTTAGATGGCCCAAGCCTAGTGACATTTTCTCCAGACATCAACACCATAGATAAAGTAGAAAACCAGACAGTAAGCCCTATTATGTGTTCAGCAGTCTGTAATCCAACCTGTATTTATCGTTGGACAGGAGTGAGTACAGTGAATTCAGCAAGGCTAGACCTTGGAGAACTGAAACGAATAAAGAGGGGGAACTACACATGCACAGCTAGTAACGTGATCTCTTCCTCCTCAAGAAGCCTCGTTGTGACTGTCAATTGTATGTTTTAATGTTATTTTTGTAATTCTCTACAAATAAGTTTTAATTTAAACTAATTATTACATGTACTTATTTTGTTTGTAGATCCTCCAGATATTGAAGTGTTCCAAGCAAGTGGTAATCAGGTTTATGAAGAATCTTCACAGTTTAGTATTATGTGTAAAGTTGACAGCTTTCCACTTTCTAACATCTATATCGAAAATAAAGAAACTGGAAAGGTAATCTCTTCAAGTGGACCATCGAAATCTCTCATATTCAATGAAGTATCTGCTAAGTGTTATCAAACTTCTAATTATACATGTAACAGCCGAAACTTCTATGGATCAACATCATCAATTAAACTCGGGATCTACATTCATTGTGAGTAACTCTAAATCTTGAAGATATTTTGTATTTATGTTAATCATTTCTTTTATTTAAAATCTAAGACAAACATTTATCTCAAGGCAGGCCAAGAGCTTTAGATGGAAAGTCAACTATCATAACTGGAATACAAAAAGGAAAAGGACTAAATATATCTACTCAATTCGTTGGATACCCTCTCCCAACGATATCTTGGAAATTTAAAACAAACATATCGGATATACTTACCATACTCTCTGGTGAATTCCAAACATTGTCAGAACCATTGAATGTGTCAATAATACAGACAAGTCTTACTAAAATGACCGTGCGTCCAGCGGAGTTCGGTTACTACATAGTTACAGCTAGCATTCCAGGAAATATATCTCAAAACTATACAGTCACCTATCATGTGATTCCAGAAAGTATGGTCAAATAAATGACATTTTGCACTTTTCGTTTCTTTTTTAAATCTCCATTTGATTTGAAGTGAAATTACAATGTTGATCTATGCTTTTATTTTACTGATATCTGACATATCGCGTTATGCCGCATTATTTTTCTTCCATGACCACTTTTCCAAACGTATTCTCTGACAAACCAATATGAATTTCTGAATTTAATTGAAAAAATCTAAATACTTTTTTAGGAAAACCAGACGCTCCAAGCAATATTTCACTTGACTGTGCAATTTCAAATGGAAGAGCATTTATAAAGTGGATTCCAGGTTTTAATGGTGGAGTAGATCAAACATTTGTTGTGTCTTACAGAACAAATACTGGGCTTCAGAAGAACACAGCTCAGATACACTTACAGTCCTATGCAACTGTTACAGGATTAAAAGATCAAACGTTATATCTTTTTAAAGTCGTTGCGTCAAATAGGAATGGAGAAACATCGTCTGAGGAAGTTCACTGTACAACGAAAGGTATACATGTATTACCTTTTTGACCAATATGCCGATTAAATGCTTGAAATAGCAAATAAATCGATGTTTCTTTAAGTCTTTTGTTACAGTATTTTTAACATTTTAATCTAAATAATACATTATTGTATACAAAATATAGTTTCTGGCTTAATTTTATTTGAATAGAATTTAATTTTTTAATATCGCTAAATTTACATTGTAAATTCAAAATTTAATGTAAGAACTTAATTATTATGCAGAATTTTAGAAATTAAGATCCAAACAAAAATCTGCTTAAAAGCGCAGGATTGAATTCCTTAAATAATAATACTTATTTACGCGAATATGGTTAAACATATTTGCAATAAAAAGGGACATATTACGGAGGTACCATTTACATATAGTAACTGTAAACAAATATAAAAGAAATCTATGCCAATATTTTTATGAAAATGTGTTTCCAATGTGGTAAATTACTTTTAAAATATAAACAGTCAAACAGTCTTTACCATTATAAATACGAATTAGATCCTAAGGGAAATAACTCTAAAATGATGAACAGTGTTGGTAGATCTGTGTCATGTTTCTAAATTTGTGTTTTCAGTCATGATATCTAGATATGATTTGAAATATGGATACAATAATGTATATAAAATATACACTTTCTGAAATGACTGGATTTTGGAAAATTTTTATGGTAAAAAATTAAGTAGGTCCTTTTTATCAACATTTTACATAGGAAATGCATTGAGAATGGTAAAAACATTGATCTGACAAAATCTAATAAGGAAGGGTGGCTTGGTGGGTTAAATGTACCAGAATATAACATGTTAATTATCATAACATCTGTTTAAGAGTTCTTGAAAAAATCTATACAAAAGCCAGGAACCTTGCCAATGTCCTTAAGGTTAGTTTCACAATAAGAAAATAAGAGCACCCATTATGAGAATTGAACCCGGTACCCTCACCGTAGCAGTCCTATGCTCATTTCTCTGAGCTAACGAAGCTGTTGTAAGACATGGGTTTAGATTAACAGTACACTTTTTTTTTAGTTTTTCTTTCTATATTATATATAAATAATACTACTTATATGTAAAAAGTATTTACATGTATCATATCAATATTCTTTATCATGTATTAACAAACAATAAAAACAAGCATTCAGAAAGGCGGATTTTACGCGGGTTAATATACTTGTAGAGCTCCATTCCTTAAAAGTAATGGGCCTCGGCCCCTTCGGGGCCTCGGCTCCATTACTTTTAAAGAATGGAGAAATACTCGTACATTAACCCTTACATAATTAAATTTTAAGAAAAATCCAAATTATAAGAATCACAAGTATTCCCTGCAAACGATTTTTCCATTTTTTTTTTTTTTTTTTTTTTTTGTAATTCTTTTTACTTCCTATTTGACTTTAACCCTACCAAAATATTTCAAATTTCTGTCAAGTTTGCGTTTTATATCCTAGAATCTACTGTCCCGAACATAGGTGGCATCATTGGTGGAATAGTTGGAAGCATTTTTTTGTTGATAGTTATTGCTCTCTTCATATTGATCATAAGAAAATACCAAATCAAGTGCCTAGGTATGTATCTTTTCATTTACACACAATAATTTATCAGAATCTTATTCAAACCTCATTATGTCTATAACTTCATTGGGAAAAAAATAATATACTAGGAGACTCGAGAAAAAAAGAGTGTACAATATAGTTAAAAGTAGTTTTTGGGACTTCCATCTTACATCGATATTCAATATCTATGATATTCAAAATATCGAAGTTCAAGAAACAAAAGTTATAATGTGATTTTATGATTTATATAAATGAATTTAATTCTATATTTTGATTGTTATGAATTTCAGAAACAGTCCCGAACATCAGGTATGCTCATAACAAACTTTCTATACTTTATCGAAATATATGTTGCATTGAGAAAAAAATGTTGATATATTTGATTTATTTATCTAAAGAAATGTAATTTCGTTCAAAATTATCAGCAAACTCAATAGAATGATTCTTTTTACAACAAGAAATATTGAAAGAAGAAGAAAGAAAACGTATCGTTTTTAATGAAGCTTATGTGAATTAAATTCATCATGTACATATATCTACATAAAAATACGAATCGAAGCATTATATATAACTGAATGTACATTATCAATCATACGTTCAAGCATTGAATTGTTTTGGTTGTTATAGATTTATAACAATTTGTCACTCAAAATGAGCCGAGAAAAACGTCAGGTTGACTCATATATAAAAGAGCCTGTTTTAATATGCAGTTAAAGTATATCATTGAGGGAGTTAGCAAGATTCCAGTTCCCCAAGACCAGGACTATTTCCCAAGGTGCACCACGCCGAGGGAAATAGTCTTGGTCTTGGGGAACTGGAATCTTGTTAACTCCCTCAATGATATGCTTTAACTGTTTTATTATACCGATACAAATATAAATTGTAAAGATCACCTTTTTAAGAAAAAATATTCATTTATAGATTGATTTATCATTATCAGTCGCAAATACCAAATTAGAAGAGAGTTATTTCATAATTCTAATGCAATCATTGCATTTTGTTGTTTACGTCTTATTTTGTTGCGTTTTGTTAATGAAATACGTCACGAAGCATTGTGTTTTTGCGTCGCTCTTTTATGACATCACAATGAAAAATCTATAACCGCGAATTAGCATGACTAGCTTTCGACCGAGGGATTAGTTCAAAATACTAACGCACGGCGATTAGTCGATTCACAGCTTTTTCTAGGGAATTGTTCAAATCTAATCAATTAATTTTATATAGGTAAAAATCAGTAGAGGTGTAATAATTTATATTAATGATCAAAGTTCTTTATTTTTTTACAGGGAAAAGGAAACTGAAGTTTCAAGCAAAACTTCAGATTTAAAAGATAAGTAGATGAAATGTTAGAGTGACGTACTTTAATCATTTCTCATTAAAAAAATTTTCTTTATCTTTTTCTCTTTTACTTTCAGGTCAAGAAAATGACGAAAGGTAATACATGTACAATCAAACAATTGAAAAGACAATGGTTATCTAAACATTAAGATAAGTTTTACTCAACTTTCAATAATAAAATAACCATAATCAAAGGGCATTACGTGTACTTTAAGTGAATTTGGTATCCCGGACTCAACTTGTAAAACTTCAAAGACTTGTATTGTACTTGATAAGGAAACAGAAACAAAATGAAGATATCTCAAACACAAAAAGGGCTTAAAATTGTCAAACCCTCAGATGTAAATGACATTAAGAAAACATTTCAAGGCATTAATTTTACACAGAATGATACAAATGATAAATAAATTTCCATTTCCTATCCTGACGCATTTGTGTTTCCTAATTTTTTTTTACCTTCATTTTAACTAGTCATTCAAAAAATTATCTTTGTCCCCCGCTTTCGCGAAAGCGAGGGGACATTAAATCTCATTTGTCTGTCCGTCTGTCCCTCTCTCGGTCTGTCTGTCCGTCAGTCTGTCAGTCTGTCCGTCCGTCACAAAAACTTTAACCTTGCCCATAACTTTTGATTTAGTGGAGCTATGACTTTCATATTCCACATGTGTATTCCTTGTGACAAGACCTTTCTTTGGGTACCACCAAATTTGACCTTTTGACCTTGACCTTGGAGTTTGACCCACTTTTACACAAAAATTCCAAACTTTTTCTTTGGCCATAACTTTTGAATGGTAGGTACTAGGACTTTTATATTTCACACACATATGTATTGTTTGTAACAAGACCTTTCATTGGATACCAACAACTTTGACCTTTTGACCTTGACCTTGGAGATTTATGTACTTATGAAAAAACTTTAACTTTGACCAAAACTTTTTTATAGTAAGGGCTAAGGATTTCATACTTTATGTATATAATTCTTTAGAAAAGAACTTTCATCAGATACCAAGAACTTTGATCCTTTGACCTTGACCTTGGAGTTTGACCTACTTTTTTAAAAACTATAACCTTGGTTACAACTTTTGAACGGTGGATACTATAGGACTTTCATATTTCACATATGTATTCTTTGTACCAAGACCTTTCATTGGATACCAACAATTTTGACTTTTGACCTTGACCTTGGAGATTTATTTACTTATGAAAAAACTTTAATCTTGACCAAAACTTTTGAATGGTAGGGGCTAGGGCTTTCATACTTCACATATGTAATCGTTGTGAGAAGACCTTTCATTAAGTACCAGAATCCTTTGGGTTTGACCTTGGAATCTGACCTACTTTTCAAAAACTTTGACCTTGGCCACAACTTTGAAACAGTAGATACTGGGACTTTCATATTTCATATATGCATTCTTTTTGGCAAGACTTTTCATTTGATACCAACAACCTTGACCTTTTGACCTTGACCTTAGACATTTTTTGTTAAAAAACTTAAACCTTGACTATAACTTCTGAATGGTAAGGGCTAGGGTTTTCATACTTCAAATATGTAATCCTTATGAGAAGACTTTAGATTGGATACCAAGAACTTTAACCCTTTGACCTTGACCTTGGGTTCAGTGATGATTTCTAAATAAATGACATATGATAGGGTGTTCATATTACACACAATAGGTCATAAAAAAAATGACATCTCACCCACAATGGCACTGAAAGCGGGGGACAACAATTCCTTGAATTTGCTTGTTATTGCTTTGTTTAACTTTTAAAAGAGCTTCAATTTCAAATGGTAAAAAATGACAAAGTTTAATTCTATAAAGGGTGCACTACGAAGAACTAAAGGCGGTTAGTAGGGACGGAGAAATGAATTATGACGTCATCCAATCGGCAGGCAGTAAGTATTATTTTATTCTACGCAACCGTTACCCCTTTCAAAAACTAAAACTGTTGATACCAAAAAAAAAAAGAAAAGAAAGGAAAATAATCATTAAAAAAACGTACATGTATACACATGTGAAATGATAAATTTTCGTGGGGGAAACCGGTTTATCTCGGTGTTTTCTTGTTACATCGGAACCCAAAAATCCTTGCCTCCCCCAGTATATGCTTCATATTTTGAACTTCAAAACTGAAACCCCCCAAACTACATTGACCTATAATTGTTAGACCATGAAAATTTAACCCCTTTTCAAAATTTAAAACTAAATCATTGGTCGTTCTGTTCCAGGAAGTAGCGATGAAAATATCATGTAAGTTTTTTCACGTTTGTATTGTATAAAGTAAAGTTTTAAATAACTACTCTATTTATACTGTGCATGAAGCGTTATTCTTAATTTAAATATGCCTGCCTCAACTTCTTTTTTACAAAAAAATTCAGTGAAGGTTATGAAAGCCTTGATCTACAACACAAAAAAGAAGAAAACAAGTACGAAGCATTAGGAAAGATTGAAGGTATATAGATGTTGAAATCTTTGAAATGATAACTAAAATATAATAGAAATGGAAATTTGTTTTGGTCGATTTTAATTACATTAAAGTAAAGAGTATTTTTCTGTAAATTTACAGATTACAAAGATCCTGATAAAACAGAATCCGAAACGAGAAAGTCAGCAGATGTCTATATTAATGAATTATTCAATTGAGTGAAATACATGTTGTATATGTATAGTGTTGATGAGAGGATACTGATTGAAATAATGCTTAACATCATTGTTTCTTTTAATTTCTTTCACAATTCTTGGAATTTAACACTTGGCATAAATAAGCCACAAAATGTTCTTATAATACTGGATCTGTGTAACAAATGTTCTAATGCCGGTGTAATTTTATAAAGAGAGAACCATGGTATTTATAAAATGTCCATTTCAATATTACAAACATGACTGATCTTGCAATCTACATCATCCCAATTAAAGCAAGTCTATCTTTATGTTAATTCATTAAGTTGTTGTTCTCATATAGATGATAAAACCTACTGAGAAAAGTTCAGAGGACTTGTTAAATCTTAGTTTCTCATCATTTCTAATGATAATTACATGTATCATTTCCAGTATTGATATAATCTTGAAGTTCTTTGGTTGTCCTGCTTTTTTTCTTGACTTTGTATTATTACCGCCCATTTCTTTATCTTGGCGATTACTGGGAAATAAAGTCAACATATGCAGCATTTTCCACATTATTTGATGTTTTTAAATGTAATTCAGAGTGAGATTTAATTTATAGTTTATTTTCAATATGACAAAAATTAATTATACAGTCATCAGTTTGATTTGTGAAGATATTGTTAATTAAAATACATACATATTGTAAGAATTACGGCACCTTTCTCGAAAAAGATTATTTTTTCCCAACAGCACAGCTTATTCCATGATACTTGCATCTTCCCTATTCGCGTTGAATTAACGGATAAAGTCTATGAATTACTTTTATAACTTGCAATTAAAATCTTCAATTTACTCACACGCTTGGTGAATTATGTATTTCAGAAAAATTCGAAAGAAAGGTGGTTTGTTACAGTTCGTTACTATCCATGCAGCCTTAATTTCGGTCTCAGGTTATAAAGAATATAATGTACATTAAGATGTGGTTTACAAAACTGATATTGACTTCGGCAGCTTTAAGGTTGACAATGTTGTTATTCGGATGAAAATTTCAATGATGAACTCAGCTACATCCAATGTTTATGTATAATTTAAAACACATCAAAAGTACATAATTGCATAAGAATATTGTTTAGTTTATTGTGCAAATGATAGTCGTGCTGATTGAAATAAATTCTCTTCTTTTACACACACATTTCTTTTTTGTCTATTTTAACTTTTGTTCGGCACTACCTCAACAGGATCTGGATCTTTCTAGTCTGTATTGTTCAAGTATATCATCCCCACTTTATCTGATTCTAGAGTGAAATCTCCAAATACTTCTGGAATCAGTTCAACGGGTATGAAACATTCTTCTATGATTTTACGGAGAGGCACTGGATTACTTGTTCTTTCTAGGCAGACCGTTATGTTTTGTTTAGCAGCTGTGTAATTTTGAGGCCAGTCTGGTTTATGTTGTGGAGATTTTATATATTTTTGAAGTTCTTCAGTTGTTTTGCATTTTGTCTTGAATTTGTAAAAGTTTTTTCCGAAGTATTCAGCACAAACTGCATGACACAGCCAATATACTGCTGAATTCCAGTTTTCTTTCATCATGTAAAGATATCCGAGTAGACTAAATGATGTCGCACTAAAGTCCTCGAGGCAGTAGTTTTCGAAATCTTTCAATATAGTATCAACTTCTCTTTCTGCGTTTCGTTCCTTTGAATCCATTTTTATCTTCTCTATGTCTTCTGCTTCTGGATCTCGATTTTTCTCTACTTTGTCTTGTCCGGAAGAAGAGGGATTGCCTTTTCCAAGATTTCTTTCTAGGTCCTTTTCTGGGTCATTTTTAAAATTACGCTCTTTTCCTTTCATCAAACAAAACATACTATTCCCTAAAATGTAATAGCAAAGGGCTTTTGACTTGCAGCGAAAAACTCCATGGATATCTATCTCGTTCTTTAGGAATTCGTCTAGTACCTGTAGCAATGATGTCGAGAACTCGTTTTCAGAGTCGACATCAATATGTTCAATGTACTTTTTCAGGAGTTCTATCCCTTTATTCCACTCTTTTTGTACAAAATGTAAAAGAGCAACTCCTGCAATCATGCCTGATGGAGGTTTTTCTCCTAAAGTCAACAACCTGTTAAACTCCGTTTTTGAATTTTCAAACGCCATTATTCTTTCCGAATTCTCAAATGGCAAAGAGCAAGCATATGCTAGATACATAAATGCCAAATTTACTCTTGACTGAGTAAAATCCGGATAACTTTTACTTATTTCCTGGAACATATCTACTGATTTTTTCGGACATCTCACTTTTAGTGTTAAATACACCAAAACGTCTTTAACTGGAAAATTTTGAAACTTTTCTTCCCAAACCTTAATGATGTATTCGACTGCAGAATCGCATGAAGCACTTTGTATTACACCCTGTACATGACAAATAATTTCCTTATCTTTTGCTACCAAGAAATTTCCAGAATCAATGAAAGCCTTTTCTGCTTCTTCAAATCTTTCTTTGGTTTCGCACAATAAACCAAGAAGATATTGTGAGCTTTGGTATTCGTCTGCTGAGCAGTAATTCTGGAATTTTACCAGGTACTCATTCCAAGATGTGATGTCATCTTCATTGTCACATAAAATGCGCACAAAGTAAGCCAGTGAAACAGTTGGAAATTGGATTTGTTTAAATGCATTTGTGAATAATGTTTTCGACAAATGTGCCATCAAAAGTCGTGGAAGCGCATGAAATGTAAGAACATTGTAGTTGTTCATTTGGTGTTGGCAATTCTTTCCCCTTGTAATTGTAAAAAGATCTTCTAAGATATCCTTTGCTTCTTTTTTCATGTTGCACCTAAGCAGGAAATTGGCATAGTTTATATGTGCTTGTACAGTCATTTTATCTCTTTCCAACTTCTCATAAAGTGTCAGCGTTTTTCCTTTGACTTCCTTGAATTTCTCAGAATCAATGGGATATGACATCGATGCTGAAGAATATAGTAATGCTAAATACTCTTGAAGACCAGACGTGCCCTGACTATTCTGAGCGTAAACAAGTATTGATTGCATGAACATAGTAACTGGAAAAACTAATGTGTATTGTGTTGGAGAAGACATGCATAATGTGTATTGTGTTGGAGGAGACATGCATAATGGGTTTTCTATGATGCTCAGAATAAAATCTGAAAGATTTTCAAAGAACATTTTCATATGTCTATGCATGTCAACTAATAGCCTTGCAACTTCTGTCGTTTTGAGGCTCATGAGGCAACTCCAAGTAACCTTTTCAAGGACCATCATATAATTATTTTGAGTTGTTTGTATATTCTTCAAATTGTCATTATCGGTCAATGGTTGGATGTCCTCTCGAAATGCCGACCTTCTACTTAGATCTTGGAGCACATATTCGTCCGTAAAAGGAAGTAAAATAAGTATGGGATTCTTCCTCGCTTCTTTCAAAATTCGCTCTGCATCTGAAAGGTCCTCTTCTGTCAAAACGTCAAACAAATTATTTTCGGGAATGAAAAAAGTAGGGAGATTCCTACATTTCACATGCTCCAAGAGCCTATCCAACAGGTAAAGAAAACACCAGCCAGGATTTTCCCATCTTGTTTCAGGTAATATCTCGCATGCATACAGAAAAACTGTTTTGCAGTGATAAGAAGAAATAACCTCAAATTTCTTATCTTTGTGGATCAGTGCTCTTCTGAAAAGTTTGAAAAACACATAGGAATGTCTTTGGTAGTCATTTAAAATCGAATTTGCCAATTCAACTTCTGTCGTGGCAAAGGAAAAACGCCATTCAATATCAGATTTCGGGACATTCGTTTTCTTATGGGCAACAGGAACGACGTGACAACCATTTTCTAGGATTTTTTCAATATCTGCTTTACGGAGCCACTCACTTTTTTCAAATCGTTCAATTAACGATTGTGCACATTGAGGCCATAGACAAGGGATCGCCCAAGTAAAATCCCATTCGTCTTTTAATAAGGGATTTTCTAAAGTCGTCATGTTATCTCTTAATTCTACTCCTAAAGCAGGGCCTTTGCGTTCAACATTATATCTGTCATCATAGCTTTTATATATTTTTCTAGCTAACTCATCAATATCCCTTAAATTTGTACTGATGAAATGTTTTCCATCCAGCAAAGATGCACATTCAATTCCTTTTCTGTTCAGCGGAAATTCATTTTGGGGATTTAAGACACGAAGTCTGCAGTATCCAGGATGAGTGTCATTTGTTTCTATATAAACATTGGTGTTTATTTGGTCTGCTTTGGACACGGGAGAGTGATTTGATTCATTATGCTCAGTCAATGGAGAACAATCTACGACTTGTAAGATATCGATGTCACTGTAGCGGACATACACAGGAACAGGGTTATCAAGATTTTTATCCCGTTTGAACAATTTAGGAATTTCATAGAATTCTGGAACACTTCCTACCTGAACACAATGAAACCTGACTGGTTGTTCAGTCCGATGGAGCATTTCGTTAAACTTCTGGGCATGGTCTTGGTCTTTTTGATTGTTCTGAATTGACGTAGTGTACAAAGGAAGTATAAGTTCTATGATAAATGTGAGGTTAGGAATGGCGATCTCACAAGATTCTGAATAAAAAAAGAAAGAAAAGTTTACGATAAGAGTTTACTAAAATTCTTTACATATTTAGCCTTTGAAAATTTAGTGTTTGATCTAGTATAAGCCTACCTTCTGATTGCGACGAATTATCATCCATTATAGGCTTTTTCACCTGTGTGCTCTAGATAACAAAATCCAAACTAACTTAATGGCTTTTTTCCGACGATCGTATTTTTTCACTTCCTCCTTGGCGTTCTTTTGTAAATATTCTCTGAGGTGTATCAGATCACTTACTTGCTGAAACTACGTATCGCACACAGATTTGACCTAAAAATTCATGCAGGTATCTTTTTCATGCATTTAAATTTTGAATTAATTTAAGCTTGTACTGCAGCATTATTTAAATTGATTTCAGCTAAAAGAAAAACACATGTAGTCGTAAAGAAGTAGGACCAAACTTTTGAATGTGTATCATTTATTGTAAAGGCATTATTTGACAAAATGTAAAATGGTCAAAATATTAAACAAAAAAAATTATTTTGAAAAAAAAGATTTACGAGTAAAATTCACCCACAAGATATTGATTGCCAAAATGGTATTTAAAAGATTGGATAACGCTACGATAGGCTCTCATCATTAGCAATGCCTTTCTCATATCCAGTCAGTCTTTGATAGAAAGGCATGATATAAAACTCAAACAAAAATGCTGGCACATTATTTATATCGTTATATGGGGTTGAATGAAGTCAAGGAATTTGGCAATTTTTGTTTTGCTGGATGTCAAAGGTAAAAGAAAATTCAACAATTTCTTTTCACAAGTGTGTGTTTGGACATTGTAGTCTCGTCTTGGGGTTTGTACTCCAGACATTGGAAACGTTTTTCTATGTGTGACATTCTTATTATTTACTGGAAGAGATCTGTCTGATAAAGATTTGGAAAACAACAAAGGTTCGTTAAAGCAAGAATTTTATTATGTCAAATTGAGAAATACAATATTATTATCTCTGCCGTCTTATTTAATAAGTCATAAGTTCGTAGTTAGACAACAAAACACAAACCTTCAGATAATACTCTAGTACAAAACTGACGAGATAACTCTTTCCAGAACGTAGAGTTCCAGCATACATATTCATGGGGAAAAGACTAACAATTTTGCTACTGCTATATATTGCAAGTGAATGTTTGACATAGAGCCTTAATTTTACTGCATGTCCTTAGTAAGCGATCATCATGGTCTATATCATGCAGCATGCAAACACATTTTATGATACCGCTTTTTGTTTCAAGTCGTTTTGGTTTTGCCTTAATGAGGCTTCCACATGAGGTATTCATGCAATTTATCTGAGTAAGAACTTTGCTATGAGTGGCAGATGATCTGACGGAAATACTTCACTTGGTGGTAGGTTTCTTCTCATTTCTTCCTCCGATAAAAAGTCTAGCACCGAAAGGACTTCAAGGCCACGCCCATTTGATGTCTCAGAGCGAGGCTCGAAAAATATGTAGTCCAGACATAGGCAGAATTCACCGTCAAGATTGGTTATTTTTGGCTCTGTTTTCTGAAAATGAAATGAACCAAAATTTTCTAGATACAACAGTAGTTCTATAATGCAATATTACTTAGACATCATTAGAAAATAAAAAAACTTTTTCCTGCATAAAAATTGTGAACATCTTTTTTTATTAATTGACAAAGTTCCCAAACATAATTTTACACACATGTAGCTCGTATTTGAAAAGTGCAGTCACCAGCTTTTATTTTTTTAAAATTCAAAACAAGGTTCTATAGACTTCGAAGAATATCACTCATATTTTAAAATTTCAAATGGTGATTTTCATGGACAAATTTTACTTCTCATACATGTAATCTTTCCTGGGCATTGCGAAAAAACAATAATGTACGAGTAGATGTATATAAATACACATTTTATCAATTTCTTGCGAAAAAGAAAAAAAAAACAAGCAAAAATACCAAAGACGATACAATTTCTTCACATTTAATCAGTCTATATAAATAAATGCACTGTACTGATCACTTCAATATTCAAAGAAACCTTACACTTTTGTCACGTTTTGGGGTGCATAGAAACTCGGATAAACTTCGAAATCAATGTATTAATGCAACGGAGTAGATTAATATTGAGTTTGAATTGCATTTACCAATCTTGCGATATTTATTATTAAGAATCCTTATAAAGTATAATAATTATGTTCTATTATTCAACAATTGTATTTAAAGTGAATATACACAATCATATTACGCGATTTGTACACGCTATGTATATTTTAAACGATAATCGATAAGTAAATCGGAATATTCATTGCGGAATTTAGAGCAAAATTAAGAAAAATAAATATACATACCAGGCATGTAGTATCAGGTGGAGGGGTGACCCCTTCTTTTCAGAGATAAATCTTTAGCCCCCCCCCCCCCCCCCCCCCCAAAAAAAAAACTTTCTTACGCCTAAAGGCTGATACGATATGAATAATCACACATTGAAATTGTTGTTTTATTTTTCAAATAAAAATGAGTAATAGTTTGATTCCCACTCCTACATAATCGATTTTTTTTCAAGTTTGGAAGAGTTTACTCTTTTTCTTTATCAAACTTCTGTTCAAGTTTATTGTTTATTTTTTTCTCAGATCCCCCTTTACAAAGGAAAGGATGTGTATCTCTGTGTGTATTTACCGTAACTAATTATTCGATCGCTTGTACAGTACTTTTTAAATTGTCATGTGGAAGAAAATTAATATAGTGGATAATTTATTTGATAGATGCATTATAGATCAAATATTAAAAAAAAAGTGATTAGGGGATTAATTTTCAGACCAAAAATACCTCAAGAACAAAAAGAAGACCTCTCACGCACGCCAAATTAAGAAGAATACGAATATTGCAAAATAAAATTCAAGCTTATTTCAGCCCGGAGAACCGGGCTGCTCTATATATACATATAAGTTTAATTGTTTGTGTATGGGGATTGGGGTGGGAGTAGTTACATGTATTTAGAATTAAAGGTTTTTCTAAACATCCCTAACAAAAAAATACTATAGTAAACTATAGTTTACTATAGTAAATCAAAGTTCCAAAGTTTTCACCATAGTAAATCAAAGTTCCAAAGTTTTCACCATAGTAAATCAAAGTTCCAAAGTTTTCACTATAGTAAATCAAAGTTCCAAAGTTTTCACTAAAGTAAATCAAAGTTCCAAAGTTTTCACCATAGTAAATCAAAGTTCCAAAGTTATTACTATAGTAAATCAAAGTTCCAATGTTCCAAAGTTTGCATCATAGTAAATCAAAGTTCCAAAGTTTTTACTATAGTAAATCAAAGTTCCAAAGTTTTCGCCATAGTAAATCAAAGTTCCAAAGTTATCACTAAGGTAAATCAAAATTTCATAGTTTTTACTATAGTAAATTGAAGTATTAATTTTTTTTTTGTATTTTGTTTTATTATTATTAGTCTGTTTTAAGGGGGATGATATTGGTTTCTTTAGACTGGATTTGTTGTTCATCTTAATTTAAATATACGAAGTAAATCATTTTAATTCAATATTTACATTAAACAGTAGGAAAAAAAAGTTATCTGAAATTAAGGAAGCAAATACTTTGATTCTAAATGAAGGAAAATTTCTCTTATAATATTTTCCCCCACAAATAATAATAAATATTGCTTATTTATCGGTGCAAGAGACATTTTGTACATTAAGATTCATTTCTTGTGCTTCGTTCTTTCAGTGGACAGGTCGTATTTTTAAAACATTCACTGAAACTTAAATAAATCTTAATCTTGAAATTTCTTAAAATTTACTGAATTGGAAGCAGAAACATAATTCTAAAGGTTTTATAGTACTTTATCAAAGTTCCAAAGTTTTTACTATAGTAAACCAAAGTTCCAAAGTTTTCACCATAGTAAATCAAAGTTCCAAAGTTTTTACTATAGTAAATCAAAGTTCCAAAGTTTTCACTATAGTAAATCAAAGTTCCAAAGTTTTCACCATAGTAAATCAAAGTTCCAAAGTTTTAACTTTGGTACTATAGTTAACTATAGTAAACTATAGTTAACTATAGTTTACTTTATTATTTTTTTGTTAGGGATTGAAAAGATTGTTAATCAGAATGTTTTTTTCCGTTTATAAATTACGAGATACATAGCATATTTACTTCCATAAAGTGAATCTGTAAAAATATATATGTTTTTCTAATATATAAAGTTGCTTACAATTAACTATTGAAAAAAACGACAGGTCCCTTTTTTTAGAACATCGAATTTTACTTCTCGGATAAAAACGAACTCTGCACAGTTCATGTTTTATATTTTAAAATTGAAAATTAATACATTTTATATATAGGTGATGCATGTGTCTCACTTCAATTTATATTTCATGCAGCTAAAATTTATTTGAGGAACTGATCAAGTTTAAAATGGTATCGTTTTTGATTGATTTTTATCCGACTACAAGTTTTCAAAATATTCGCGACTATCGATTCCATCAATTTGACGCATGCCTTTTCACGCATATCGAAGCGGTTTGATGATGAAGACTCATTTTGATTGTTTACTTTATATATTTTCCGGGCGACAATTGACTGTTACATCAATGTTTTCTTGTTGAACATTATTCTAACGTACTACATTGTTATTTATTTCTTATCTCATGGTAACGCTTGCTTCGTCTTCCTTTATATAGTACCTAATTATGTTCCCCAAACGAAGTTGGGGAACATATTGTTTTTACTCTGTTTCTTATTATTATTATTATTATTTTTCTTCTCGGGAAAATTTTGTCCGCGAATGATCTTGTAAAGTACACATCCGATTAAGGGGAAATCTTTTTAGGGTAAGTAGGCATGTTATGTAGATTTGCGGAACGAAGGTCATTTTGCGCGCACGTGCTTGCAAGAGCGCGCACGTGCAACACGTGAAATGACCAATATACTTAAAATTGCCGTACCTTTTACATTTTTTGATGTAATGCTTTGATATTTAGAATATGTAGACATATTATAAATGTAGATAAGATGACATTGTCAACATGCCATTTTGTGTGCACGTGCTTGCAAGAGCGCGCACGAGCAACACGTGAAATGACCGATTTAATTAACATAGGCGTAAATTTTTACCTTTTTGATGAAATGCTTTGAAACTCCTAAAATAAGGATATAGTAGTAGCAAAGACAATATGACATGGTCAAAATAGCAAGATCTCACGCGCATGCACG